ATATATTCTTTATAGCTTCTTTATTAAACTATTTATTATACTTCTTAAAATAATCTTTCTATTAAATAAGATATTTTATCTTATTCTTTTTTAAATATCTTTTATATATAAATTCTATTAATTACTCTTCGTTATCTTTTATTAATTTAGAAATAGAATATATCGAGATATCTAAATCTTTTAATTTTTATTTATATAATTCTAATAATAATATATAAAAAATAGAGTAAATTTAATAGATAGGCGATAGCTATAATTAATACGCTTATATTTTAATATATTTTTAAATATAAAACGAATTAATTAATTTATTAGAAAGTTTTTTACTTAATCTCTTTTATTTTAAATTTTTTATAAAAGATATAATAAGATTATCGCGATTAAATCTTTATAATTTATAATTCTTATTATAAAACTTTAATTATATTTTCTATACGCTTTATTAGCGTTTAATAAACTTTTATTAAATTATATTAATTTCTTTAATATATTCTTTCGCTATAAATATTTCTTTCTTAATAACGCTATTTTTAATAATTAATTTAAATTTAAATTAATATTTATATATAGTAAAGAATAAATTATAATTAATTAATTTAATACTCGCTTTAATAATATATAAATTTCGCGATTAATAGAAGCTTTATTTAAACGTCTTATTACTTTAAATAGTATATTTTTAGATAATATTTTAAAGTTTAATTTTATCGCTTTATTTATTTATTAGTTTATAAATAAAAGATAATATTTAGTCTACGTTTTATTTATAATTAATAGTAGATTTCTAATTAAAATATATTTATAAAAATAGATCTTTAATTTATAATAATATCTTCTAATACTTTATATCGAAGAATAATTTTTTTTATAAATAACTCTTCTAGTTATATAATATTAATTATCTTATTAATAAGTATATATCTTAATATTTTAATATATCGATTAATTATTATAAGAATCGAGTTATAAATATATTCTTTATATTTATTAAAAGAAAGATTAATAATAAAATTTATTATAATTTTTTTTATAATTTTATTAATAAAGAAAGCGTATCTAGTTTATTATAGAAATAATAATATTTTATCTTTATACGTTAATAGATATTATATATATTAATATACTCTTTAATATCTACGCGAATATTATTTTAATAATATTTTCTATTTATTAATTTAAATATCTTATTAATATTAAAATATCTAGTTATAAAATCGTTATAATAGTATTTTAATAGCTCTTCTTAAACTAAGCCTTCTTTAGAAATATATAATTTATTATTATATCTTAATAACTTCTAGCTATTCTAAATTTAATTATTAACGCTTTATATTTATTTATTTAATACTTTCTTAGCTTTATATTATTTAATAAAAGTATTCTCTTATTAAAGTATCTTTATAAGTTTATAAATAGATATACTATTTATATTATATATCGTTTTATTAATTATTAATACTTTAATAATTAGATAAAAGATAAATTATTTATAATTAATAGTTTTAATAATAAGATTAAGTCGCTTATTAATTATATTATAAGTATATTAAGTAAGCGTCTTATTTAAGCTTTCTTTTATTAAAGATTAAAATTCTTTAAATTTTAAAGAATATATTATATTTAAATAAATTTCTTATATTATAATAGTTATTAAATTCTTAAGTATTATCTTTTTTATAAATACTTTTTTTAAAAACTAGTATCTAAGAAACTTTTATCTATACTTAAATTATTTAATATAATAAAGTATTTATTATTAAGATAATATTTCTTATATATATAATTTATACTATCTCTATAAGCTTTTTTAATAATAATTAAAATAGAATTCGAAAGACTTTTAATTTTAGCTAGTTTCTACTATAATATAAAAAGAAGTCTATTAATTAATTTATTTTTATCTTTATAATTAGAGCGTTTTAAAAATATATCGATAGAGTTTATCTTATCTAATCTATACGAAATTTAGAAATTATATAAAAAGAGTTTTATTATTTAATAAACTTATCTACTATTTAATATTAATTATTTTATAAAATACTTTAAATTATTATAATTAATAAAGATTTTAATAAAATAGAAATTTTTCTTTAGATAGTAGTATTAATACGTAAATATTATAATAATCGCGAGAAGTTTTTAATTATATATTTTATAATTATAATTTATATTAATTATCTTTTTTTAATAAAAAGCGATTAGATATTATTATTTATTTATATATAGCTAAATTAATATACCCGCTATAGTAAATAATAAGATATTAATTTTAATTTAAATTAGAAGTTGAGAATTAAAATACTTAAAAAGAGGCGTAATTATAAAGGCGTCTTTTAATTTTTTAAATATATACTCTATAATCTTAAGTTATAGAAATAATCTTAACTTAATATCTTTTTCGCTTTTCTTAAGAAGTTTTATTAAAAAATCTATAATTTAAAAATAATAATAAATAAATCTTTAATAGAAATTTATAAATTCTAGAAAAACTTATATATTATAATAGTCTTTTAATTTTAATTACTCTTAGATTATAATAACTCTATATTTATTTATAATAATATTAATAATAAATTTTATAAAATTAAGAAATTTTATTTCGATAACGAAAAACTTATATTTCTTTAAATTTATATAAAGGCTATATTATTTAAATTAATTAAGTATTTACTTTATATAATTTAAATACTTCTTCTTTATATTAAAATAGATAAGAATATTATTTAAATATATTATATAAAATTAGTTAACTAGTCTAGTTAAGATTTTATTAATATAGATTTAAAAGATTATTAAGACGTTAATTAAGTTAAATAATATTATTAGATATTTAAAATATTTATAATATATATAAAACGCTATTTTCTACTTATTATCTTTATAAATTTATATATAATAATAAATATTCTTTAAATTAAATTTAATATATCGCTTAAAATTATTTAAATAATCAAGCGTCTCGCTAATTAAGAATAAGAGATATTAATTTTTAATAATTATCTTATTTAGTCTATAATAGTTAATATATAAATATAAATCTTTATTCTTTTTTAGAATAAATAGAATTAAAGCTTTTATTAAACTCGTAAAGTATTTTATCTAATTCTTTACTAGAGCTTTATTAAAATAAATTCTTAATACTATTAATTTTATATTAAATAAATTATATAATAAATTAAATAATAGCTTCGCTATAGTTTTAATAATATAATTATAACCCTTATATAATAATAGTTAATTTATATCTTTTAATAAAAATATATCTTTATATATTTCTAACTTATTAGAAAATTTAGAGATAATCTCTACGCTATTTATATAAATATTCTATATCTTAATTATATTAATTTTATATTTCTTATTTATAATTATTATTTCGATTATAATTAATATATAAATAGTCTTATATTCTTTTAAGATATCCGCGAATTATTATAACGCTAGAATCTCGAGTAATTACTTTTCGATATTAAAACGCTAAGTTCGATTTTTTATATTTATCTTAATTTACTTATTAATTAAGATTGAAAGATCTAAAACTATCGAGAGATCTTTTTTATTAATAGTATAGAAAATATATTTATAACGCTTAATACGCTTTTAATTATTTTATAAATAATAGATAATTAAATAAATATTATAATAATAAATTGATTTTTTATCTATTTATATAGATTTTAATAAAAAATTATTAATTCTAATTAAACTTTACTTAACTATAAAACGCTAGCTTATTATATTTATCTCTACGCTATTATTAAAATAAATTTTAATAAAAATCTATAATTTATCTTAATTATTTAAAAATACTCTATCTTTATAAATTAATAATAAAATAAATACTACTTCTATTTTTATTCTTATTATTATAAAGTCTTTAATAAGAGTTTCTCTTTTTTTATTAAGTTAATTATATAAAGCTTATAATTATTAATTAAATCGACTAATACGCTATTAAGATTTTTTATTTTTTATTTTTTTAATTTAATATAGATATTAACGTAATATTCTTTTTCTTTATAATTATAATATTTTATACTATTTAAATAAAACTTATTATTCTTAAATTTATTTTTAGACTTATAATCTCGAGATTATTTACTTCTAAAATTAAAGTTATTTTATCTTTATAATAACTATAATTCTTTATATTAAGAATTTTAATTTTTTTGCTATTAATTTTCTTATAAGTTAGAAATACTATTTACTTCGTATTCTCTAGAAAATTCTTATTTTTTATTATTATTTTCTAAATATATTATAAGCGTTAGAAGCTTATTTTACTTAGTTAATATAATTTAAATATTAATTAATTAATAATAAAGATTTATATAAAACTTTATAAATAAGTAATATACTTATTAATTCTTAATATAGAGATTTATTTAAGCTTTTAATAATTAAAGATAATTATTAAATTAGCGTATAATTTAATTTTATCTTTAATTAATATTTATATACGCTTAAGCGATATTAAACTCGTAATTTACTAAATCTTTAATTTAATTTAATAAAAAATTAATAAACTTCTATTATATATAATTATAATTCGAAAATCTATCTTTTTTATTAATCTATAATTCTTTTTAATCGTTATTAAAAGATTAATAAATTTAAAGAATCTTATTCTTTTCGATAAGAAAGTTTTTTAAAATTAAATAAAACGTTTTATTTATCTCTTATATTAAAACTTAATACTTTTAAATACTCTTTTTATAATAAATTAATAATTTCTCTAATTAAATTATTTTTCGAGATTATTAAATAATATTATTATATTTAAAACTAATATTATTTATAATTCTTTTTATTTCTAAAGTCGCTAATAATCTTAATATATTATCGTTATTATTACGATTATAATCTATAAATATTTTATCTTATTTAAGCGAAATAATTTCCACTTTTAAAGATTAAAGGCGATATTTTTATATAAATATATCTTAATAATAAGTAATATACTTTATTCTATTAATTAGAATATAAATAGATTTATTAATCTATTTATTAATATGTGTTCTGGTGAATCCTTCTTGCGCTGGGGCCGGTGGGTCGTAAGTTGGCAATCGAGATTGTGGTTGACGGCGTGTAGGATGTTCAAGATCGAAGGCTGGGGCAAAGTAGTCTAAGTGTGCAGGAAGCTCAAAGTTGCCGCCCGGGAAATTCTCCCATTCTACCAATTCGTCTTCATGTGTACGGGGCGTGTTTGTATTGACTCGGGCCGCGAATGGGTGGAATAACCAGCCTGCATTCTGGTGGCCATGAGCTTCTACCGGTGCACCTGTGATGCGTAACGAGACCTGCGGACGACGCACGGGTGACCTTGCAGCTGGGGTATGCCTTCGCTGTCTGAGGGTAGACTGATGCCGTGGATGTCTTGTGGTGCTGAGCGAGCGAGAGCGCGGCCGTGACGTAAGGAACTGAATTTCTGGGCTTTCTTCTCTCAAGTCCACCGCTTCGTCTTCCTGGTCATCGATGCTGATGATGTCTCGATCAAAGCGTGGTGGCCGTTGAGCACCTCTTTGGCCTTCTGAGTGTGTGAACGTGGGTGGAACGATTTGGGCTGCTACTGGGCTGCTTCCGTCTTCCGTAAGATCGATGACTTGTTGTGCTGACTGAGACATGATGGGTCTTCTTAAGTCTACACTGCGTCTGAAGGATGGGATGTTGAAATTGAAGAACGAGTTTGATGAAGACTGGGGGTGTTGGCTTGGAGATTCAGGTAAGAGGTGAGAGTTGCAGGGTATATGTCTGGTTTCACTTGACATTTGTTCGTGGGTCCTCTACACCATCGACGCGAAGTGAGTAACATGGCAGATATTTGGGAGTAATGATCCAAGAGGTGTCGGGTCTATGAGGAAGGAGGCTTACCTTTCGGTTCTGATGAGGGCACAATAACGACGCCACGGATGCCATGATCTGGTCATGGGCTTGAGAGGCAGATGCTGGCAAATAAGTGAAGTAGAGGCAAGCAGCTCGAAGAATGGTGAACGGTGAGCCACTTCACGAAAATAGTGTGAAGGTGGAAGTGGGAGGAAACTGGGCGGCGAAAGGCCCATTCGAGGTCTCGGCTATTTTTGATCCTCCGGGTTTCTTAGCTCCGTCTTGGGTTCAGGATTCAGGAACACTGAGTTAAGGTACCTTAGGCATGCAGTGCATAATAGAATATGTTAGATAATGGATGTTTCGCAAATACAAATAAAGGGTGCTCATGGGAGGGTCAAGAGAACACATAAATGATGGCATGGAGTTCCTTTGTCAATGCACCCTCGAGCATGCCCAGTTCTTAGAAGTCAAAGCTTTTATCATTCATTTCCTGCTATCCTGCAGAGGATGATACATGTTAATATACAGAAGACAAACGCCAACGCTTGTTCAAAGATTCGCCCTCCTTCATGCTGACCCAAGAACTGTGATAACACCCTCCCCATCCAACGACACCAAACTCTGGGCGCTTGATCCCCAATCAACGGACACTGCTGGCACCGCACTCCTAAGTGGCTCCGACCACTCTTTTGAGGATTTGGAGTACTGTTGAACCGCTACTCCAGTCGGTCCTGCTGTTGCCAGGTATTGACCAGTGTAGTCCCATCGTACGCTCGTTACTTGACCACCAGTCTCGAGAACCTTGATCTGAGATGCCTTGCGAAGGTCCCAGATTGAGACACTCGTCGAGCCTTTCACAGCAGCTGCAACCCAGATGCCATTCTCGGAAAATTCTACTGCTTTGAGGGGACCCGTTGCATCAAAATTCGCTGCGTTGGCGCCACTCTTCATCTCATACAACTTAATTTGGCCATCAGCGCCTCCCGCAGCAAAGAGGTGGCCATCGGGATGGAATTGGGCAGTATTTAGAGCTATTGAATTGTTAGTATATCTGATTGTGCGTCGCAAACTATGTCTTCTCTCACCAGAATCTGTGAATATCTGAAGAGCTTGTGCAGAAGACGTGAGGTCGTAGAAGATGTAACTTTTGTCCACGCCCACTGAAGCCAGTATGTCTCCGCTTGGATGGAGCGCCAGAGCTGTCACTGCACCAGCATGGCCGGAAAAGCTTGAGACCTCGACGCCATTCTCGAAAGCTTTGACTATCCCGGATGATGTCCCAACGATAGCCTTAGATCCAGCCCACAAGGCTTCTGTGACAGGACTGCCCACGGGGAGCTCTTGAACCAAGTTGTTCTGGGATATGGAGAAGATCCCAGCGGTCCCATCACTACCACCAACCAGAGCCAGATCGCCGCTTGCGTCTACTGAGATCGTCCGAGCACCAGTATAAAGAGGTTTCGACTTTTGCGTCGGCGTGAAATTTGAAATCACATCAGTAGTTGCCCAGTCTTCGGGTACGGCACGTTTTCGTCGAGTCTTCGACAGCCTGAGTACGATATCAGTAGATGCCGTCACACATATCTGCGTCTAGAAACAGGAGATGGTCACGTACTTCTCTTGCACAGCCTCAACCTTCGCGACAAGATTTCCTGGGAGCTCTTGGCCATCAACCTCCATGGTGTCTCCATTGCTAGCTGGCGCACCATTGACATTGATCCGTGACAGCGCTTGTCGAGCCTCGTCTCTTTCCCTAGACAGTCTGGTAATCACCCTTACTGCTGCATCATGCTCATACAATGCCCTGCTCAGCTCTTGCCGTGTCTGTGTCAAATGCTGCCGCAGAGTATGTGTTTCCAATGCAAGTGCATCCCATTCATTTTGAAAAACAGACAGCAATGACGGTATTGAAGTAAGGGTAGGAGGGCGTGGGCGAACTGTGCGTGATGCTTTGAGCTCTACCAGGTCGTCCGTCGAGAGATCCTCGTTTGTTACCGGGTCCTTGCCATGTTCTGAAATGTAAGCTTCGATGAGACGTTTCTCAAAGACGTTTCCTATTCACGTCAGCTTGATCAAAACTTGCTGAAGTCTTCAACGCTTACCACTTTTTGCCGAAGCTACGGGGACTTGGGGAGCTTCGCCAGATACTGTAGCAACTTAGCTTTTGGGAAGGGGATACGGCTTAATCCCAGATACTTACTGGCACACAACATTGTGTTCGAGTTTCAGGGTGATTGTTCGAAGAAGGTGCAGTGGGAATTGTCTTGTCGCGCAAGAGCTCATGCTTGTGATTTTCAATGGTTTTGCTTGGCATTCCGAGAACGCCAAGACCTCTGGCAATGGCGAAAGGGGTCGTCACACATCTACCGTAGCTATATAAATCTCTAGAAACATAGAATCACATCTCTATCGCACACACTTCAACATTACACTTGGCTATTGCATATTCTGCCACGAAGATTTTTCAATGGCACTGTTGTGATTTCGGGATGTATTCAAAATCACGGAAAAGGGGCAAACGTTCTCCATGTTAAGGCTCTGTACCTTCATCATCAAATGACAACTTCATCTTCTTCCCTTTCTTAACTCTAGATGTTTTACTGTTCCTTCCGGAAACACAGTCTTCGGAGGCTGCTTTGTCTTCTCCTTCATCGCCAACAACCTTCGCCAGCCTCCGCTTAGTTGAACCTCCAATACCTGCGACTGCCTGCTTCACAGGAGCCGCTTCTCCAGCGACCTCATCTTTTCTAGGTTCAGCTTCCTCAATAACATGGCCGGCTTTTGCAGATAAAAGCACATTATTCTCGTCCTTGTCGGCGGTGTCAGCGGCTACCAAGGCTTCATACTCGGCTTTCGACAAAGTGTCCTGGCTGTCCTCCACAACGTAGGTAGGCTGATCGTTGTCCTCTCCTTCCTGTACCTGCTTTCTTGGCCTGGCTAATGGCCGCTCGTGGCGAGATGAGTCACGGTCACCATAGTCGCCCCTGAGCTTGCGAAGGAATGCTGGCTCATTCGATGCTACGTCTCAATTAGACAACCTTTGGACCAAAATCAGGAGACACGACATGTACCGTAGCTAAGGTTCTTTGCATTGAAGCTCATCGTAGAAGACTGATGTGATATGGTTGGTATTGAGACCAGACAGAGGACGAGCGCAGAATCATCGAACAACACTAAACAGTGTACAGCAAAGAAAATTATGCTCAAGTGGCGTTGTTGGTAGAGATTAACGGCTCTCAAACTCGATCAATGCTCTCAAATAACGCGCATAACGTTCTATGGGGTAGGGTTTGATGGATGGTACGTCTATATCAGTACTTTGGAGCCACGCATTCCAGACCACATGGGAGCAGGCTGACCAGAATTATCATCACCCTACGGCATCAACTTTCGATGCCTGTGTAAATAGATAGTTGAACCCGCGAAGGCTTGTTGCCGCGTAAAGATGCTTTGATCACTTCATTGTCGATCTCGGTATCGGCAGCCGTGGCGTTGACAAATTTGCCCCGCCAAGACCCAGTCCTTGGCAAGCTAACTCTAACAGATAAGGTGGAAAAGCTTCTCCCGACGGACTGGAAGACCTCTATTCGCGTGGTATATTGATTGAAGTGTTCACTCTCTCCCTTGCACGTAAACTGTGGCATCTTCGACAGACTCTCTTCTTGTGCTTCAGTCTCCTACTAGAAATACTTCTTGTCCTCGTGCCAGACGACACCCGGCCGTTGAAGTGGCGGCGGACCCTCCGTGAGATTGATATCCAACCTCCTATCACATTGCCTCCCCAAACAACGTCTCTTCAAGGAATGACTACCTGTCGAAAAGTGTTTGCACAATACATGACGATATTACGAAGCACCAAGCGACATTCCCGAGCCTGACTGGCTTTTCGACCACCATCTCAGCCAACCGTGGGACATAACCCCCAGCCGCTCGTTACCCTTTTCGTACAGTACCTTTGGCAGTCCAATCCTTTTTCCAGGGACGTCTTCGCTTCTATGTACCCCAACACGGACCGAAACACCTTCCTGCGCTAATTGAGTTCAATCACCCGGTGACTGGCTGTTCTGGGGGTTCGCTCTTTTTCTCGCCTGAAGCCTCAGAGCAAGCCGCGGAGGGTTGTCGCAGCCATGGGGTTTGTCAGAAGCCTCATCAAGCGGATACCTTCCACTCCGGCCCTACCATCCCTCGAAGATCTGAGCAATGAGAAAGACCGATTCGCACCTAGATTATCCTTCTTCAAAAGACGCATACGGCTGAAAGGCAACTCAAAGATTTCTGTTCCGCTGGGCGCTGTATTACTATTTCCCTGTATCGTTATAATCCTAATAGTTGTCCTCATCGTTCGGCATCCCTCTTCGCCTGGGGGACTGATGATGCCCGCTGGGGCTCCACCAGCTATTCGGTAGGCCTCGGGTTGTCTGTCTACAGGCTTCAACGGAAAGACTAACCTTAACGCAGGAAGATAAGTGAGCAGTATGACAAAGTGTTTGTTACCGGCTGCCTCGAGCCTCAGACAAACGGACCACGAGCCAACGCAGTACTAGTGATTCTGGCGAGGAATCAGGAGTTGGAAGGTGTGGTCCAATCAATAAAGTCAATGGAGAGACATTTCAATCGGTGGTTCCATTACCCCTATGTGTTTCTCAACGACGGAGACTTCAACACTACATTCAAGGAAACAATCCTGAACCACACAAGTGCTCCTGTCGAGTTTGGGAAGATAGATCCGACTATGTGGGGGTATCCAGACTGGGTGAATATTGATACGGCAAGAGAAGGAATCAGGAAGCAAGGAGATGCGGCCATCATGTATGGTGGCATGGAGAGCTATCATCACATGTGCAGGTTCTATTCAGGGTTTGTATTGAATGGTGCTCGTACCCTTTCACCCCGCTTACCCGTGATCTAGCTTTTTCTACAAGCATGAGCTCCTACAAAAGTACGACTGGTACTGGCGAATTGAGCCAGAAATCAAGTACTTTTGCGATATTACATAGTGAGTCGTTCGGCTGAAGTTGACGAACGTTGGTAAGTGCTAACAGGTTTTAGCGACCCATTCATACACATGGAACGTGCGAACAAGACCTACGGCTTTACCATTGCGGTCAAAGAACTGAAAGAGACTGTTCCAAACATCTTCCGGTACGCATCGGCGTATAAGCGCGTCAACAATTTGACGTCCCAGGGACTGTGGGAGATGTTCGCAGAGCCTGCGTCCGCGGCGGAGGATATTTCATTGCCTGAAGACAACCCCAAATATAAGAAACCGTTGCCCGAAGAAATACTCAGCTCTGAGCCCGGACAAGGAGGAGTGCCAGATGTCGACCCAGAAGCTATGGAGGGGGAGACGTACAACATGTGCCATTTCTGGAGCAACTTTGAGATAGCGAGGTTAGACTGGTTCAGAAGCAAGGAATACAATGATTTCTTCGACATGATGGATCGAAGTGGAGGTTTCTGGATGGAAAGGGTAGGTTGTGATGCCACTTGATGTAAGAATGATTCCACTGACCCAATTATCAGTGGGGGGATGCACCGATTCATTCCCTCGCAGCCGGCGCTCTACTGGCTCCCCAGAATATACATTACTTCCGAGACATTGGATACCGGCACACAACAATACAACATTGTCCAGCAAATGCCCCTGGCAACCGGCAGCTCGCTAGACCTCCATTCCTCGAGGTGACCACCAAGGATGAAAAGAAGAGGAAAGAAGAAGACGAGTACTGGGAGACGTGGGATCCGGTAAAAGAGAATGGAGTGGGATGCAGGTGCAAGTGCGATACTGACATCGTCGACGTCGAGGGGAAGCAGGGAAGTTGTCTGGATGAATGGGTAAATGTAGCAGGGGGGTGGGCATCTGCTTAGAACGAGGCCTGGCTTTGGCTCCAGACCATCTCCATCTATACCAGGGCATTCTCAATCAGCGTTTTTGCCATTACATTCTGCATCGGGAGGCGTTACTCGGCGCTCGTGCTTACCTCCAAGGGGTGTAGTCCAATAATCAGCTGGGGGGGGGCCAGGGAGGCTTCACTGAGCTTCCTGTACAGCATACCATTTCAGCATGTCGCAACGAAAAGATGAGCTTCTCCCAAGATGTGACCATAATGGTTGGTATGTATTGATTCTATACCAGTCTCTATGTTTACAGAACCCACTCAATACTGTTATTTGATTTTTTTCGAATATGACAGTCCAAGTAATTTCCGAGGGTGTTTTCAAAGTTTCCAGAGCTCGAAGTAGTGGTGGTCAGTAGGGTGAAGCAATATCAAGGGGGAACAGGCATCCTTTCGAGCTGGCTATCTAGCGGCCAAGACAGGGGACTGGCCAGCTCAAGGGATAATAGAATGGCGATTGGCATCCTCAAAACCGAGATAGCTGTTCAATAGTGGTATCAAGTTCACAGCACAGCATAGAGTAGTTTTGGAGATGAATGTACTCTACTGCCTACGATAAGAGGCTTCTTATCCCCACTAGTGCGGGGTTGTTTGAGGAAGGCAGCAAGGGCATCTGCTGATCCAACCCCTCCTCCATCATCATCGTAACACGAATCCCATCAACCAACTCCGCCAAACAAGTTACTTGATGGTCAGCATCCATTGCCTCGCCTCCACCTCTCGTCCAGCTGTATTACAGTATCCCTTCACTCGTGCTCTCCCTCTCATCGGCGTACCTGCAGGTCCAGTCCCCGTGATCGCCCCAGAGAGCTTAAGAGTCATAAGGCTGCCTTGGCTGTTAACACCGAAGCCTGTCTTCCATACTTTGGGTAAGTACCATTTGCCTATCCTCGAAAAAATTGGACTCATATTCCCTCTTCCTATGACATCCACCTATATCACCTACCACACCTTCCAAAACACCTATCATACTTCCTTGCTGTCTCGCATGGTCTCGCTGACTCCATGCAGCGGATTGAGGAAGACAAGCCTCATCCCCACATCGAATCTTCAGTCACCCTCAAATTCCCTACAATATTCGTACATGGTACGCCTGCCAGCTGGCTGTCCCAGTCTCAGCTCGTCACCATGACTTCCCAGCATGACGACAATTCATGTGACGATACATCGAGCTCTCTCGGAGACAGCTCCTACGACTTTGTAGACGATAGAAGTATTGCGACAACCGATGATGAAGACCAAGATGCAATGACCGAATCCATCACCTCGAGTGATGGGCATGAATTCGACCAACCAGACATTCACCAGCTACAGGGCAGATCAGGTGATTCAGGAGGTCAGACTTCTCACAGCCAGGGCTCCGAATACTGCAGCGGCCAAGAAATCCACTCGGAGTCCAACCCTCCTTCCTCTGGACGAGAATCAGATCTGCAGGCTACGACCGATCAAGTCCCTCTGAACAAGCTGCACGATCAACACGAGGCTATCGAATTCGTCGAGCCGAGCGTTACCAATTTGAATTTCTCGAGGCCCATCGAGGTATCACACACGTTAAAGATAATAGACGGCCAGAATGCTACTGTCAGCAATTTCTATCTCAACATGCTAGAGCGCCGCTCTGGAAAGGTGGCCGTCACCGTTAGGCAGACGATGGCGAGCCATGGTCTTCAACTTCGGGGCAGGCCGTATAAGATCCTATACGTTGGGGACTCCTCCGTGAGAGATATCATTGTACAGAAAATTGCTACGGCCTTGGCAGCTTCGCTGAACAACAGCTCTTCCCCAAACTTCGAAAAGCCTCGACCTTCCAGATTTAATGTTGTTCCAATCTCTGCATTCGGGGAGGAAGCTTCTCCAGAAGTCGTCCTTATCGACTCGTCAGGTCTTGAGATGAGCGTTGACGAGTGCAGCTTCGCTTCTTTCGCAAGAAACGAAGGTGGAAACGACACCATCCAAATGCAATTGTCTGACGGAAGTCAAGTGGTTTCCTCTTGGTCTGTTTCGAAATTCGTCATTTCGAATGATTGGAGGACTCCTGACATAGCGGTATTTTGTTCGTCCGAAAGGGATAGCGTTGCTGTAAAGCAGACTCGCCGCATTGCTCGATCTTTCATGAGCCGTCATGCGGTACAAACAATCGTCATCACAGCGGCCTCGCACTGGGACTCTCATGCAGACGCTATCACGTTGGATTATCTGACTCCACACATTCATTTGGAGTCTCTTGAACCTATGGGCCTGAATCGTACTCAGACCGTCCAACGCCTGCCGATTGATCTTGCGACATTCCTGAGTATCGATGCAGGCCAGATGAATAGAAACCTCGCTTGTCTGGATGCTGCTCGCGGAGCCTCCAAAGGCTGCGTGCCTTCGAAGGTCGCGAAGTCCAGAGGAACCTCGCACGACCGCCTCTCGTTCCAAGAGATCTATGATGCATTTGTCACCGATATTCGAAAAGATGGGTTGAAAGGTCTAAACCGGTATGAGTACATGGCTGGATTTGTAGTCATGCTAATGTCGGTACTTGGTATGGTGGTCGTTGGTTTTGGTCTCACTGGAATTTTGGGAGCATCCAGGGTCTCGAACAGCAGAGTGTTCCCTATGAGTGTTGCCTCAACTTCTGCCTTGGGTGTCTCAACTTCAACAATGGCCACCGCAGCACCGCTTTCCTTGCAAAGCTTGTCCGCTCTGACTGCAAGTTTGGCATCATCTACTCCGACTCGAGTGTCACCTGTCAGGAGTTTGTCGACTGACGTAGATATTGCTTCATTTCTACTAGATGCGTATGCTTTGGCGCCGAATAAATCGGAGCAGTTCAAGGTTCATTTCCTCGGCGACTGTCATATAGTACTTCGACCGCCCCATTGGTTCAGTAAGATGAAAAAGACTCCGAAGCTATTGATCAAGATCACACGGGGCGACAAGACTTTGGAGCACCAGATCTCAACGTTGTTCGATGGGGTATACGCGCTGCAGATCCCTCGCGAAGATTCCTACGGCGTGCTCAATGTCACAGTATGGACTGAATCCAAGCCAAAGATCAAAGAAAACTTTGAAGTGGACTTTGGGTCGTCATGGTTCAAAGTTGCAGGGTGGAAGAAGGGATCCCGCGTTCTGACGGAGTCGATTCGTGGAGATTTGAATTCGATCCAGACAAGTCTGAGCATCTTCTACGATCACACTAAGACAGGGCTTTGTAAGTCATTACAGCAGCAGAGAGCCAGGATTTCTGCTCAGAGAGAAGCCGAGAAGGCTATGCTGCACTCTCATTTTGAGGCTGCGGCAAAGACGAAAGAGCTTTTGGTAGCGCATACAAAGGGCGTAATCAGAAGCATTTCAGGTACCCTGCATGATAGCCACGCGGCTGCTTCTTATGCAATCGAAAAGCATGCGGAGAACATCACCAAAGATCTAGCAGTCTACGCCCGCAACAAGACCGCGGTGATCTCTCGACAGTCACGTATATTAGCTCAAACAGCTACAAGATCGAATGTGAGAGCACTTCGCGGTCTCGCAGTCTTCAGTCAAAGACACCTTCGAGAGACGCAGAAAAAGGCGCTCCTGATATTGTGGAAAATCGGAGGCGTGCCCAAGAAGACAATAAGAGTGAAGGGCGAGGGCAAGGGACCATCTCGTGGTGGCAAGATATTCGTTCGTCGTGATGAACTGTGAGCTAGACTAGCGATTGGTGTTGGGATGGTCAAGGCGTTGGGATGTTCTGTCTCTGTGACAATCTCTAGAGAGATCGGGTGTTTAGGGCTTATGAAAGGGGTATAGGTGATGCCTCAAGATATGGAGCGAGGGTGCTCTGGTGTCGGTCCGGTGCCCGTAATTGCAATTCTGAAACATGCTCTATGCTGTACCTCAACAACGAATCTACCTCATACGTTTGAGACAGTATTGATACGTATTACAATGTGAGGGCTTCTCGGACAAACATCCAGTTCCTCCTGTGGGAGTTTCCGAGAATTTGTATGCATATGCCTGTTCCCTTTCCATGCCTGAGTTTTTAGGTCCCCAAGATCCTCAGTCCTTTGCCTTCTTTTGACGTAACGACCTCTGCTGTCTCGTTTTCTGCTGCATCGTAACCTCCGGTCCTTGACCTTCTCAGCATGCTCAGGTCGAAAGTGTACATCTTTGCCTTGTCTACCAAGTCAATCCTTAGATCAACAATCAAACCATAAAACTAGATCCCAACTACGTCACAATGTAGGACAGAGGAGATGGGATCAAGCATTGGATCGGGAGCTTCAATTTCCCCTGCGTAGCATCTTGCGGATACATTTACTGTACGGGAAATACGAAGGGTACAGTCAATGGCATTTAGTGAAGTAACCCTTGATAGCAATCATACAGTAGATGTAGAAGGAAACAGGGCGAATCTCAAGTGGTAGGCCTATGTTATTCTCTGCCACCTCCATAGGAGACACTGAAACCGGTTGCATAGAACCGCAATCCGCAGTCATGCTGCATGCTGCACTGCAATCATCAATCTAGGTTACAATTTCTCGATCGCGTCCCTGAGGCTTTGTGAAGATGCGATCAGAGCACGAATGCTTGCCCATGTTTGAGGCTGCACAGGTGCAACCTCACGCTTCACCAGTACCACCCCTGCATCCTCCGCTCGCGACTCTATTGTCAGCATGGGACTCCCTGGCAACGCATGCGCTTCTCCATTCTCGTCAATGAACACTATCTCAACTTGCTTCTCACAATCGATGCTCTCCATCGCCAGCCTCATTGCCTTCAGATCCTGGCCGTACATCGTCTGCTCTTCCCACATCTTCCTCAACTCCTCCTCACAGATCTCATCGTAAGGGCTGGCTCCAACAAATCTTCTTTTCACGGAAAAAACCGCCCTCATGTCCGGTTGACACCAGATTTTATTGAACACCTTTGCTACCTCTGGCCACTCGATTTTGAATGTAGCCAGTAGGACCAGCAGGTAAGTGAGCTGCTGCCCACGTGTGTCTTTTTTGGCGACATTTGGAAAGCGTGGAACGTCGCTGCGAGAGGGAACGGGAATGGAATGAAGTTCCTGGCTGTCGACTTCTGGGTCACACCACATTGCGTCTGTGGTGCCGAGGTGAGTCGACCAGCCCCGAACAGAGAGATTGTGTTGCTTTGCCAGACGCTGCGCTGCGGCTGCGGAAGGAGGGAGGGCGATGATAAGCGGCCCGCGGAACGAATGAAGCGACGTCTTGCAAACAGCCATGACGTTGCGAAGGATTTCGAAGGCCCAAGAGTCGGTGGCCCACCCTTCGTCTGCGTTGAGTTGGGTTATGTACTCCTTTATCACGCGTGGTATGGCTGCTGTTCGTAGGGCTCGAAGCTGCCCTTTGAGATCTTCCGTGTCATTTTGTTGCTGTTCTAACAGACCGCCTTTGAAAATCGCGACTGTAGGTGCTTTTTTGGCCGCGAGTATAGCTGCCTCCAACTTCGTGACAGTGGCTTCTATTTGTTTGATTGTTGATACGACAGCACGGATCGCTGCTGCTGCTTCTGAAGATGCAAACCCGCCAGACCGTTCTTTTTCCGCTTCGATAGCTGCAGCCGGGTCTTCGTTCGAGTGCTTTTCTTCAGTTTCGACGGTCTTGATGTGCTGCCGGAAGTCTTTGCTGGTAATCTTCCAGTCATTGTCAACATTCAGTAGAGCGAGTAGTTTCTTTTTCCCCATGTCCGGATGAGCATCGCGTAATGATTTGACAGCTGTACGAATCTCTTCATCGGTGGGGTCTGGAGACTGGTTCTGAGTCTCGGTGTATGGTTGGGCCATAATGGTAGACAAGTAGTCTTCGAAGTCGAGTCGAGAGACGCGATTTTGATAGAGAGGTTTCGATTTACAGCTTGCTGGTCTTTAACCCGAAAGGAGAAACATGACAGTGAGTGAGCAAGAGATCTTCGTCGTAGATGCAGCGTGATTGTGTTTGCTTCTCATCTCAATGTCGGAGGTGCTAGTGGTTGCGGTCACGTAGAGATGGTTGCCATATAAGTAGCGGCCAATCAGAAGTAGAGCTTTCCGGAACAGTAATGTAAAGTTGAGATATTCAAGCACGCAAAGAGACCAAGACATCTTTTGTATATTTATTGGATAGACTTAGGTGATTAGTGTCTCGGCGAAAGACTTGTAAGACCTGCTATACAAGCAAGAAAAGCGGACAGAGAGCACCATTGCTTCTTGAACAGCATAGTAAATGCCTTCCAAATCACCAAATGATATACCTGATTTGAGCCTATTTCAGGGATATCGCCCTGTTGGAGTTGGGAGCTCTCAATAACCAAAATCCTATAGGTCCACTCGACGACAAATAATGCGAGAGACGGTTGTTTGCTGAAGTGTCTAGAAGCAGGGATATATATATCGGTGATGATCCCCTGGCCTTGTGGAGTGATGCAAGGCATTTTCAATATGGACGAAGGACAAGGTAAGCATATTTTGTTGTCGGACGTGACGAGCAGACGGAACAACAAAAAGCTTGGCGCTAGCCCGATTATGAACATCTGCACAACAGCTCCCCACATTTCTTTTCTTCACTATACACGACAACTCCTTTCCTCCTCTCCTCCCTATCATCCCTACACGAGCTTTCACATATCAGCTATCTCGCTACCACCAACATGTCAGAAATCAACCCGGACCCAAGCTCCACTGAGGCATCCACCACCTCGCCCGCCAAAACAGAAGAAACCCAAAAAGACTCCGCTCCTGCTGCTACTAGCTACACCGAGATGGCTTCTAACGCCGCTGGATCAGCTACCACTGCTGCCGCCGGGGTCAAGGACAGCGTATTCAGTATGTTCGGTGGCGGGGCCAAGAAGGAGAAGAAAGAGGAGCCGGACGGCGAGACTGAGGACAGGAGTGGAAGTTCCAAAGCCAAGAAAGATGCGGAGGCTGCTGAGGCGGATGAGGGTGGGGAGGTAAGCCTGCTCTTACGTTTGCCCTGCCCAAATTCCTATCTTGTCCACTACGCAGGAAGCTGATTAGGTGGGTTTGTGTTGTATAGGACGACGCCCCCGACTCCCCAGATGTCCACTTCGAGCCTGTCGTGCACTTGACCGAAAAGGTAGAGACCAAGACGAATGAGGAGGCTGAGGAGCAGACATTCAAGATGCGCGCCAAGCTGTTCAAGTTCGATCGTGAGAGTCGGGAGTGGAAAGAGCGTGGAACGGGGGACGTGAGGTTGCTGAAGCATAGGGAGAACAAGAAGACCAGACTGGTTATGAGGCGGGATAAGACTCTGAAAGTCTGTGCGAATCACTACGGTGAGTGCTACCCTACATTACTGAATAATGGGGAAGTGGGGGTGCGGAGAGCGAGGGGCTTTGTGGGATATGGATTGATTTATGATTGTAGTCGTGCCAGACATGAAGCTCTCTCCCAACGTGGGCAGTGACCGAAGTTGGGTCTGGAACGCAGCTGCCGATGTCAGTGAGGGGGAGCCTGAGCCCCAGACTCTGGCTATTCGGTTTGCCAACAGCGAGAGTACGTGCCGCCTTCCCTTTCCCCGGAGTTTTTGGGCGCTACTGACCAGTGCTATCCAGATGCCAACCTCTTCAAGGAAGCATTCATCAAGGCCCAACAAGAGAACGAGGCGCTGTTCACCAAGGGCGCCGTGGAGTAGACAAGACATGGTCTGGGAAATGGAAAAATAGAGGAGCGAAGCATTTGAGACCATGACCTACACTTGGAACGAAAAATCCTTTCAGAATTTCGTAGAGTCCAAATCATGAACCAAGACTAGGTATACTAAGCTCTCCAACATCAGCAACTTTCGTAATTGCGGATTCTGCTACCGGCTTATCACTCATCCCCGCCAAGAAGTCGCAATGCTCATGTATAGTATCGTTGTTGGCTTGACTAATTCTCTTCTCCGCGCAACATATGTGAAGAGTTACCAACTCTTCGTAGCTTTTGTCTATATGACTATGTAATTGCACAGTCACTTGCTACAGTTCCTCTAAATGTTGCCTTTACAAAACCTCCGCATATGCAATGCGAAGCGATATCCAAAGGTTTCCCATGATTCAAGAACTACCGCTTTCAACGCCCATATGTCATCATGGTCCATGGGTATCCGCTCCATTATATAATGTCCAGGTTCCTCTTCACACTTCCAAAACATTTTCCGATAGCTCCTAAACATCAGCACTTCTTCTTGGCAGCTTATCCTTTCCATTAGCATCATCATCACCATCCTCGTCTCTCGCATCTTCTTTCGCCTCCACTGCGAATGAGACCTTGTACTCCTGCGCTTTGACTTCAGGCTCCGAGTGCTGCCGTCTCCTCCGTGTACGAACAGTCTCAACTTCGGGCTCAGCACCACTTGTATCTCTTGAATGTCTTGGGCGATCCAGCATTTCTTGTACTTCGCCCTCCCGTTGGCGATCTTCTTCCGCCGTCCTTTGACGTGGGAGACCTCCACTTGCATCTGCATGATGATTACCTCTGGCATGAGTAGACTCCATTGAAGCAGCTTCTTCAAATCTTTTCTTGATGGCGGGATCTTTCTCCAATTCTCGGAAACAGTCGGCATCACTTGGAAGCCACGAGCACTGCGCTGCCTTTACGCCAATCTCCAGGACCCAGCATGCTGCCAAGACCAGTATAAGCGTCAGCCACCAAAGCGCGTTTCTGCCGAATCTCTCTAGGAAACCTTCCTTAACATCATAGATGATATTGTTGTGGTATGTAGTTGAGAGAATGATCAACCAGAGGAACCAGCCGCCGACACTGATGAACATCGAAATGGCAGAGGTATATGTCTTGTTATGCAACTCCCAGAATTGCATCTTGGTTGCAATAACTAAGATACATGCCGTGAAAGTCAGCGCTCCCATAGCGTAAAGCCCGTTGTCAGTCGTGAACATCGTTTGCCCGAACAGGCCAAGCATGATGAAGAAAACGATGACGGCTTGCGAGGCTGCCATGGCGACCCAGGCGAGGTAGATCTTGATCTTAAACCCACCATTATGATGGCCAAGAGAGTGGTAGAGTTCGGGCACCGCCATGAGGGTAGAAGCAGAAAGATCCTGCTCAAAGATTCCCATGAAGATAACGGGGAGTGAAGTGAAGAGCGTGTTGAACAGTGATAGTGACCAGGACTCATAGAGAGAGGTGCCTGTGTAGCCTGCATAGCGCTGATACAAGGCTTGTGTAAGGTAAAACAGCATCTCCTTCCAGAAGGTTCCGAGAGTATACTTGCATGTACGAATGTAATTCCATCGACCGTGAACAAGGAGCAACTTAGTGAGGAATCGGAATTGTGCAATAGAGTAGTCAGACGTGCGAGCAGCTTGGAGACCTTCTTTCCCTGTGATGCCGATGCCGACGTGAGCTTCTTGGATCATGGCTATGTCGTTAGCGCCGTCACCGATTGCAAGCGTGATGGCGTTGTTGACTTTATGGCGGATGGAGCTGACAAGGGAGGCCTTCTGGGAAGGGGAAGCGCGGCAGCAGATGACCGTGTCGACGAGGATAGCCAAGGAAATAAACAATTTGTAGACCGATTCAGAGGAATTGATTTGAGAGAGTGTGTGGCCGTCTATTACCACAACCGAATGGGCGACGTGGCCATTGCTGATGTCGACAGTTGCAGCTGCAATGCGTTGGCTTACCTCGCCGGTCTCGTGATCAAGGACTGTGATGGACGAGTAGTCTTTGATCAATCTGCAAGAGTGTCCTATGTTCACAGCAGTCTCGCGCTTGTCTCCAGTCAGCATCCAGAGCTTGATTTTAGCCCGGCGGAGCTTTTCGATAGCTTCAGGTACGCCTTTTTGTAGTTTATCTTCAATCGCGGTCGCTCCTGCCAGCTCGAGGTCTCTCTCCACCTGGGCTCCTGCCTTTTCGATCATCTCAGGACGGTTGACAAGACTTGTCGAGGCATCACGATAGATTTTCTTCCAAGATTCGTATTCATCCTCTTCCATATACCTGTAGGCGTATAGCAGAGTCCTAAGACCTTCTGTGGCGAAGTCGTTGATATGTTGAAAGCACCTTTCCAGTACTGCCCCGTCATCGACGACCAAAGCCTCTTCTACCAGCTCGTCGGCATCATCTCCTCGAAAAGATGGTCTACCATCCAGACTTGCGAGACGTTGTGTCGGACCGTAGTGCGCCGAAGGTCGGGGAGAATAGTAGATGCTGCCATTATCGACAGCAGACACGTCCACGTCAGTCTCACGATCCTTCAACCAGTCATCAAGTTCATCACGGATTGGCTGAAGACGTTTAGCGGTCATGCTTGGGCGAGTAATGCCACCGAGGCTGGGACGATGGATGCTCATGCTCTTTCGGGTCATGCTGTCCTTCCGGCTATTCGCTTCGCTTGCACGTCTGAGAACCTCCTGAGCCTCAAGGCTATGCCTCATGCTGACACGTTGCTCGATCTCGACCGTCTTTGCAAGAGCGAGCCCAGACAGTCGCAGCAAGCGGATGAGAGTCGAATCCGCTCCCTTGCAGAAAACGCATATGCGATGATCGGGCATGCGTACGATAATAGACATTCTCTTTCTGTTGCTGGAGAATTCGATGACATCAAGTATTTGGTATATCTCGAACGTAGGCTCGTCGCCGGGGCCCTGAGGGAACATTTTGACAGTGATTGTTGAATTTTGTCTTTCAATCATAATGTACCCAAGATCTTGAGCAGCTCGTACCAAAGCTTGCTCATCCGGCGAAGCGGCTTGATACTCGATCTCGCCATCCCGCTTCCTCTCGGGATAACAAGTATGGCACAAAGCTATTGAAAGCAGGAAAAAGCGGACCTTCCAAGCGAATAGAGTATACGGTCGATATTGTATGTACTGCAATAGCTGTGCTGTGCCAAGCTCTGGTTGTGATGTAGGGGTCTTGGCAGACGCCTTCCAGCGAGGTCTTGTCGAGCTGTTGTGGACAACAGCCGACCCGCAGGAGGTAGGAGACATGCTTTGAGCCGCTGATGTTTCGCCGGAGGTCGATATATTGATACCTCGTCTGATAGGCTTCTTGCCTTTGCTGTGTCTTTTCTGAAGCGCTGGCTTGCGGGTGCCCTCGTTTACGGCTTCTTCTTGTACGTCTGGATCATGAAGCCAAGCTGTACCGGCTATACTCATTTTCCGAAACCGCATCGAATTATTCGTTAAGGTACCCGTTTTATCGGAGAAGATGTAACTGGGGAAACGTGTCAGTACTGTTCATAAAGAGTGTCTCTCATGGGCCATATACTTGACTTGACCCAATTCCTCGTTGATCGTGGATGTTCTCGCTTCCATTGGGGTATTGGAGGCTTCATCATACATGTCGACGTCGTTCATGAGTAGCGTTTGGAATAGCTTGACAATTTCCAGGCTGACATACAAGGAAAGTGGAATCATCGTGTTGAAGAGAATTATGAATGACACTAGAATAGGGAAGAAGCCAACGCCGGCATTCGTGAGGTACCAAGCCTTTTCTTCTGTTGTTTCCTGCCAGATTTGGTACGCCGCCGAATTGAAAAACGCAAGAACTACCACGAAAACGACAAGCATGACAACAACCTTGTTCACTACAGTTTGAAGAGCAGGCTTAACGACGCATGTCAGCAGGCGCCGCATTCAAGGATATATCACGAGAAGTCCTAGTACTCACAGCCTTGATTCGAGGATTCTTCGTGGCATTCATCCTAATCTTACACTCCTCGCCACTGTAAACTACGATGGCAATGGCCTCGGATGTGTTTCGTAGAACGCTCCCTCGATAGATGATCTCGTTGTTTGCCAAAGGAAGAGTCTCGCCTCCAACAGTGACTCTGCCCTCGAAGTTGTAGAGATCTAGATTTGGATCTTCGACGACGATGTGAGCTTCGCAGCTGGCGATGTCTTCTACAGTTCTGCAACACCTAGCTAACTGCGGCAACGCTTGTTTGCTCTTTAAATTGGTCTCTCCATCCAGCGCCATCGTTTCCACGTAGGCCACCTCCTCGGCCCCGTTCGTATGTAATACGGTGAGATCTGCCGGAGCTGCTTCGTCTCGCGCTAGTTTGACAACGTCGCCGATCCCTATGTCTTCCCACTTGGTTTCTGCCCAATAAACCCGTTTATCAGGTGTCGCGGTGCTGCGATCTACGTTGTCTGTACTTGTTGCAGTGACTTTGTGTCCACGCAGAACCATCGCAGTCTTTCTATTCTCCGCCTTGTCCAGCCTATAGCGCCTCAAATCATCATATCCTTCTTTTGCCATGGAGATAGTAACGAAAAATGCCAGGGGAACGATGGTCGTATATGTTCCTGTGGTGCTTAACCCAGGAATCATTTGCAGGATCGAAACGCATAGAAAGTAGAAATTCGCCAACTTTGAAAATTGCGCAAACATTTGACGAGGTAAGAAGTTATACAGCGTATATCTGCTCGACGTGATAGTGTTATTCATGTATCTCCGACCAGTGCGTTCGTCTAGAAGAGGCTCCCTCCGAGTTGGATCGACGTCAATATGTCGTCCATCCTTGGAAGGAGGAATCTCTTGAATCTTAAGGATCTTCTTGCGAACTCTCCCTTTTATGGCCCGGAGTTTTGACAGCAGCCCGGTATGAGCTGCTTTGCTTTTGATCCATGTTTCGTAATGTGGTAGATCCAGTGATTCATGGGCCTTTTTGATGGACTGGGGATGCGTCTCCATGTCGTCGCCTGTCTCGAGGTCTGGTAAAATGGTGATCGTTGCCTCCGGCTTCTTGCCAAAATCACTGCCAGTAGAAGCCTGCTGGACTGCTGATGCAGCCGTTGGTTGTAATTCCATAGCAGATCTGCTACTCTCGGGCTGTCCATGAATATTGCGCGCCGGAATCGCCCTGCGAAGAGAAAACCCACGGTCCCGGCTCCGAGATAATGAAGGTGACCTCAAAGGGGAAAGCGGCGAATGTGGTTGTAGTGGCGTTTCTGGTGAGACAGGACTTAATAGTGACCTTGGCGGCTCTTGGACTATGTCTTGCCTGCTCGTCGCGTGGATGTCTACAGACAAGTTTGAAGTTGCCGAGAATTTCCGCCGGTGCTTGCTTCCTTCCCCAATTGTCTTCCCTGCGGCGGTTGGTACATCGTCCGTGCCATCAGCGTCGGCCACATTATCTTTCTCCGTGAAGTGGGCAGCGTCGGTAGATGAGATCGTCAGGCAATGTGAGGCACTTGACGGGGAGAGAGTTGAAGTGGTAATCGAGGGAGGAGCCTGTAGAGATGATTGGCCTGCGAGACTGGGGTGCTGCCCATTTGTTTCTTGTGAAACGGCCAAATCTCCTTCAGAACGATCACCTCCTTCGCCAGCCCCATCATGCTCATCAGCGACCATGGTCCCTCATTGGCGGCTATCTCGATGGTCTACTGATAGAATCTCTTTTGATTGCCATTCATATAGTCATAGGTGTTCCCCGCGGGCACCACTGCGTTATTCGCCAAGTCTGCCGAGAGTCGCAAGTCTTTGCAACAAGGTCATTGATACGTTAGTAACTGTAGGCTGCGCCAGATCAGCTAGGCGAAGCGATTGATCGTGTCTTCGCGAATGGTCGAGAGTGCTGGAAGAAGGATTTGGGCGGAAGGTTGGAAAAACTTTGTCGCCGTCTTCAAAGTATGCCTCCACATTCGGCTTCGGTCTTGGCACCTCGGCCGAGCTGTCTAGTGTCTACAGGGACTACTGACTTGGTTTCACCAGCAAGAGGGAAGAGACAGCCATTACGATTGGATGTCTTTTACGTAGTGCATGTGATGTTTGCCTGTAATCTGGGCTTTCAGGCTCTCAGCGAGCGGTTCCATCGGTCAAATGTGGGTTCAATAGGGTCATAATTTGCATTGCACATATCCAAACGGAGTGTATCCCTATCTGAGAGGAAGAAAGCTATTTTACATGATAGACAAAATTCAACGACAGTGCTGCATCTCCGCCGTCCCGCGCCGGACGAAAGAACAGACGACCGTCATAAATGTAAACATTTGACAAGAGCCAGTAGTACCAAGACGCCGGCATAAAGATCCAGGTGCAGCTTATTAGGCGCTGACAATCTCTGTAATGAATTTGATATTCCGCCTTCTGTCCGAACAGAATGCTCCCCGCTGCACCCAACCTCTGTATGTACCCGCCCCTGGTATATCCTCGGAAACTCCCCTAACAGACCATCCATCCGACGCTATCTTTGAAATTCCACACGTAGAAGGCAATCGCTCGGACTTGGGATTATGAATGATCATCCGGTTCTCTCAGGACTCAGACTTGAATGGTCCATGTGACTGAATGAAACCATATTGTGCATGTCAAGCTCCTCACTAGATGACTCTTCTTGCATTTGCATGCCGAAGTCAGAATCATCCATCTTCGCGCCCGGCGAGTGCATCTGCAAATTCAGATTCTGCTTCGAGTACATCTCACTGAGCGAATACCCATCGTCAGACATTGCCGAATGATGATCTTGTGAGATGGACAGAAAATCAGCAGATGTACTTCGGTGCATGTGGGCTAAAGGGGGTGATCCATCGGCAATGACAGGGTCGCCATGACTGTAGGCTGACAAAGGTGATACCGAAGGATTAATGGTGCTCGGGTGCTCGCTATGCATAGGCGAAAGGAAAGGGAGGCTGTAGGACGGGTTGAAACTAGAAGCAGGTACGGAGTCCATGTGTGTACTAGATGAGTAGTACGATGGACTTGCATACTCGGACGGCGAGCCGGTTGTAGCCGCGGACAAAGGGTACTGACGGTAGTCAAGACCATAGCCTGCGGAGGTGTCGATCCGTAGATTTGGCCCAAGAGGACTAAGATCATGCTGGTGTTGAGGGATGGGTGCGTAGAGAGTTGCATCAGTCATGTTGGTTGAAGGACGTTGAATATGGAAAGACGGCATCGGGGGCATCATCGAGAAGTCAACAGCAACAGGCACAGATCGACTTCGAGTACGCTTGTGACCTCGTGGCCCTGGTGGTGGCATACCGAAACCATTCTCCTGAAACATAGCGAGGTGTGGATGTGCCATTTGAGCCGTCGGCTGTGATGATGGGCGAGGAGGAGCCATCATAGGTGAAACGGGGGCAGATGCTGCCATCGTATGTAGATCGTATGGACAGTGTCTGTTTTGGAAAGAGTCCAACGAAACCAATTTGGCCAATTGTCCAGTGAGGACTTTGGGATGGCCACCCAGGTGATGCACCATAATCAACGAAGCTTGCTGCTCTTCCGTAAAGTCCCCACATTGGTGAAAGCCTCCGGTACCAGCTGAGTCCATGAAAAAGTTAGGAGGCCTATTCAATTCCACCAAGAGTCCGCGAGGTCGGGTTGGCATCCCACTTGCCTCTTCTGCGGGGTCACCATATTCAAGACTTATGTTCTTGATGTAAGCAAAGGGGTATTCGATCTTGTAGCCGGCTCCTTCATTGTTGATGTAATATGTAAGGCAGGCTTTGTCCGGGGCATAGAAGACGACAAGATCCATGGCGTTTTGCCCTACACGACGCCAACTACCTATACTTAAGGATTTGCAGGTGAAGTGATGGATGACTATCAACGCTATTAGGTGGTCATATAGATATGGAGAGCAGGGCTGGTCTGCGTACCGATTTTACCGGCTTGGGCGGAGTCGGGGTTCAGAAGCATTCCACCGCTGCCGTAAGCACTCATATGATTTGGGGAGCGGCCGAGAAACTCTCTTGCGAGAGGTTTGCCGGACTCCATGGCTTGGTTGGCAAGATAGGTGCGCATTGATTCAGGGATTGCATCGCAGTCCTCTCCTGTTTCAATGCTCTTCTTCGCAAGCAACTTTATCTTGGCACGCCTATGCCAGGTTCATCAGCTGCTGTAAATCTGTGACACCATGCCCGGCACCAACCTATTCTGAAACCATATCTGGACAGACCTCTCGGTCATGCTGATATCTTGCGCGATACGTTCCCGGACGGTGGCCGTAGGTGTGGGGTTTCTGATGAATTCGTCTTCGAGTGTCAGGAGTTGCTCTTGTGTCGCTCTTTGCCGTTTCTGGTTTTTTTGTTGTTGGGTGAGAGTGCTCTTGCGAGGTGGTCGGCGAGATATAGGAGCCCCAGCAGTGGCAGAGACAGTTGGCGAGGGTGTTGACGACGACATCTTTGAAGAAGAGGTCGCAGGCGATTCCTTTGCAGGTTCAAATGTTCACAGCGACTTGTAAAATAGCAAAGTACCTTATTACGAGGCCGTTAGAGGGGGCAGTATTGGAAACGTAGAAGTGAGAAGCGCTGGGCCTTCAAAGTCGCGTTCGACAAGGAGGGATTCGAATGAACGTAAGACTGCGATCAGCAGGACGGGGCGGCAAGTCGTTCTACCAACGGAGCCAATAAGTAGATGCTGGACCAGAGCAGAGGAGTGAAGACGTTGTGTCGGAATCGGCAGTGGCGGAAAAGGTGGTGGTGTTGGTTGAACAAGTTGTGCTGTTGAAAGAACGGCAGCTAAAGGAGTGAATAAGCCTGGACCCGAAAGGAGTGGCGATGTCCAATTGGCAGAAACAACAAAGCAAGACAAGAAAAAGGAATGTTAACGTCGTCAAAGACCGACGACAACAAGGTAGAGGCTCTGACGATATGATGGTGAGGATGTGGTCGAAGGGAAGAGATGGGAGGTTTACCTTTGCTGAGGGGCGGTAAGATTCGAACCCCTGAAAATCGGAAACGCAGAGCAACACAAGCGAACCTCCGAACCTCACGCCAAGGCTCGATCAACTTTTCTATGAAGACACTTTATTTGAATGATGGCCTGAAAGAAATGTTCGCCGGAACTTTTCTACCCATTAAACTACTCGTACAATATTTCCTACGTCTGACTCAAGCCAAGGAGCAACATGTTGTGAATTAGGTATCCTTCTTCACCGTGAAGAGGGTTTCTTAGACCCGTGAGGCTTCCTCGATCATAATTCATAACCGCCAGGCCCCCCGCAGTGGAACCTGCAAGTGCCAAAATTCATGCATGATTCTGCGAGATCCCTGCGCCATCGCAATTCTTAGGAGCGTTTTGAGTTGTCATCATGAAGAAGAAACTGCGCCGTGCCAAGCAGGTATCGTCACACCCCTTACAACTCGTGTAGGGCGATACCTAGATTGGAGGTTGGAATGGAGCATCCTTGACCATTATTACCACGTTACCGTCGAAGATTATGAGCTCGCCAGCTCTCTTTAAGAGAATCACATTAAGAGGCTCGCCTACCCAACAGCCTGCTATTATTAGAGTAACATTTTCTGGAACTGGAAGACGTTGCCGTTCCCTGTTCCCAATTCCCAATTCCCAACTCCCAAAGACCCGCGCGCATTTTGCCGTCAGCTGAAGTTTAAAAAAGACCAACGGTTTGGAAATCTTCGTAAGGTAAGTACGGTTAACCTAAACGTGGTAAGTACCTTGATGCGGGGGAGTGGGTGTTGTACCTGTTTTTGCCGAGGATTATTTTCAGGAACGGGGTTTCAAGGCACTGAATTTAGCCTTTTAGCATAATTTAGGCCGTGTTTCGGAGGTCTAAGAAGCGCCGGTCGGCCGCAAAGCTGCAGCCTGCAGGAGAGCGAATCGACCTCGAACGACAAAATCATAAAGTATGGTCATGTGCTGCTATACGCATGGTGGCGCATAGCAGCTGACGCCATTCAACGTTGACGAACAGTCAAGGGAGCCCTAAGTCCCTAAGTCCCTGAGTCCCTAAGCAGCGCAGTGGGGGAGAAAGTCTACGACTTAGAATGCCGTCTGCTGTCTGTGCCAATCATCATCCAATAATGCACCAATAATGGAAACGGTCAAATTTGTAGAGGTTTGCTTCAAGGATAAGTTCTTCGAACTTTCCATTACTGCCATATGTTTGCGCTGCAGACTTCGCTCTAGGCACAGGCCTTCAACCGATTGTCAGGCCAGCATTCTATCAGGCCATCTACACATCCAACTGGACCATTTGTAGACTTGCCTGAGGTCCAATGTGTAACACCTCTTCGCACCCTGTCAATGCGATCCATGCTCTAGTTGCCCCTTCCCCACCAGGAGATGATCCTGAGTTAAGTAGGAATGCTGCTGCCACCACGTCCTAGCCCTAAGATCTTCTATCTGACTGCGGTGCGGCAATGGAATCTCAAGATAGTGACCGAGATGACTTTCTAAAGCCGATCAATCAATCACTCTTTGGGATTTGAGCCTTGAAGCCGCGTCGGATCAGAAAACCCAGCAACCCTTTCTCTATCCTCGAGAACTAGAATATTGTGAGCGCCGGACCTCAAGCCGCTCCAAGGACTTTTTTCACTTACAATCCCATCATTCTTTACAACGCCATCCTCGATCCAAATCGACCAAGAGCCCATCGTACTTGCCATGATTATGTCTGTGAAGAGCCTATCCCCAACTACAGCAATCTGACCTGGATGTTCCACCCGAATCTTTGGAATATTCTGTAAGTGCCTAAATACATCAGGGCCACATCCAGGCTTCTTTGTCGAATGCTTAAAAACATTGACCCCCGTGGCCTGTTCCAGGAGTTTGGCTTCTTTCCCCTCGGGGTCATCTTGTGTGCCGGCCGAGTTGCTGACGATCAACACACGAGCGCCAGGGAACATCTTGCGAAGAGATTCAAAATGTTTCTATTGATCTCAGAATGCCATGTCTTGCTTTTCTTTCGGAACGGAATTCAAGAAACGACTGACACTGTGGGAGGAAACGAGCGAAATTGATTAGACGTACTTTGTATGGGCTATGGATACTACTTTCTTTGGGTTTGGCAAAACAATTATCTTTGTCAAGTACAATAGCTCTGATATCAGGTCTCTGACCTCCATTGGCGGCGGTTAGAGCTGTAGCTATAGAAATTGGTACGCGATCAAAGGTAGGAACAGTAGCATGAGGTAGACATAGCGAGGGTTTTCGTAGTAAGCTGAAAACACTGAGCGTCGCCGAGACATTCATTCGGGCGACGTGGAGTTCAATGGGAGCGCAGAAGACAGAGTCTCACACTGGAGGCTAAAATCGAGGCTTGGCGGCAAAGGGCGCTAATATCAGCCTTATCGAAATGGAAATGCCCGAAGTCACATCACTGCTTTATTTCCATTAGCAGGCACCAAAAATTTGTTCCTTTCGCGCAAATCGCAATACAAACAGTGTCTTTACGCGTAGCCTGTCATCATGACCAGCACAATCGGTATACCAATAAAGCTTCTCAATGAGGCTCAGGTAATTCCTAAGTCCATCCCACTGTAGGGTGGATACAAGCTAACAGGTCCTTCGCAGAACCATGTCATAACCCTCGAGATCACATCTGGCCAAGTCTACCGGGGCAAGCTCATCGAAGGTACTCAGGTTCTTGGCGCCAGACAGGCCCGACAAACCTGCTACAGTACCTGGCCTTTTTGCTAACTCACCCGCAGCCGAAGACAACATGAACGTGCAGCTCAAAGACATCACCGTTACCGCGCGTGACGGTCGAGTTAGCCATCTAGATCAGGTGTACATACGGGGAAGCCATGTAAGATTTTTTATCGTGCCGGATATGTTGAGGTAGGGTCTTTCTACGGCGCTATTGCGATGACTTCTGCTCGTCATGAGCGAAGCAGGGAGGCTAATGACATTGCAGGAATGCGCCCATGTTCAGATCGAGAGGGACGAGAGGGAGAGGTGTTGGGTTGGCGAGAGGAAGGGCGACTGTCAATAGGGCAAGAGGCCAGAGGGGCCCAAGAGGTGGCTGAGAGGGGGTTGCGAGATGAGGAAGGAAGGTCATCCGATACCCATGGAGAATGGCATAAAACGTTTGCGATCCGTCATGAAATTGCAGGGTTGGGCATCGACTCCTCTTCCAGGAGGGGGCGTGGACGCTCAGAAAAGCGCCAAGATGTATCAAGGCGACACTCGATACCCAGGAGCACAAGATCAATCCTGAAAATACGGGACCTAAAGTGCCCTCATAACATCTCTCACGGCCTTCGCCGCGAACTTTTTTCTCTCTGATTCGGGCATGTCGGCACCCATGTCTTTGATCGCCTGCATTTTCAGCATCATGTTCTCCAGCTCCTCTACGCCCTCGTCTGCACCCTCATCGGATCCTTCTGCTCCATTCACGGTCATTTTCAACTCCATCATTTCTCGCTCTACTTCCGCTGCCTCGGCGCTAAAGCCATTCTCCAATCCCAGGTCGTCAGATATGTTGTCCACATCAACACCCTCCCACTCGCATGCTTCGAGCGCTTCCTTCAGTCGCTCGATACCTCTCCTCTCTATTTGGAAAGCGCCAGAATCAGCACAGATGCACCAATTCCTCTTTGTCTGCTGGGTCGAGATCCTAGACTCACCTCCAAACTCGTTTCTCTCCTTCTTGCCTTCTCCTTTCCATTCCACTTTCCAATCCAGCTCCCCATCAATCCATTCCCAAGATCCACAGTCCATGCAAAGATTCTCCCATTCCTCATTAGTAACCTCCAGACCAGGACTTATCGTCTGCTGCGTGCCCACTGCCAGCAGCAGAGGTTCACTTGTAGCATAGCCAGAGCTCGTGTGATTGCTCACCACCTCGTGGATTGTGGCTAGTAGATTCCGTGTTGTATCCTACCGAAGGCGCATCGCCATCAGCTCCTTCTACACGGTCTTTGGACGACAGACTTTGGCGTACCAGCTCTGCCTTTTCCTTAGGCTTCCTGAAACATACAATCCATGCTCCTACTGCTTGTACCACTTCGCCCGCTTCTTGCCCCAGCCATTCTTCCTTCCACGCCTCGAGTTCGGGTGAAGAAGTGGGGAGTTCGTCCCGCCAGATGGGGATGGCGGCATTGTAGTAGGGCGTCCGGATTTCGTAATGGGAGACATCTGGCGGAGCGTATCGTCAGTGAAGGTAGAGAACACACTTACATGACCAGGATGAGGCGGGAAGGTGGTGTTATTACCTTTGAGAAAGGAAGGAGGTGTTTCCGGTGTGGAGAGGAGGAGCATGCGGAGCGGAGAGGCGATAGTTGGGGGCATGATGGCGGGGTAGAGGATGAAGGTTCTACGAACGGAGTAGCATGATTGTTGATGATGGTCAGGTGGTATGTTACAAAGCTGAGAAGCTAACTGTTTGTACCTCCGAAAATAATTATCTGCACAATAATGCTGAGCGCTCAGGGCTAAGGTTGAATTTTGAAAAGGAAGCAGCCATTCCGAGATGATGGTCCCGTTGAATGCCCTTTTCTGACTCTTGATAACCTGCAAGCCACAGCACAGACCATTGATATCCTGTCCGATCTCAAGCATCTGATGACATGTGGTCCGCTCGTCCTAACAGACCGTTATCCACTCTTCTCCCTGCACTACCATCGAAAACAAAAGGGCCTGCATTATTCGTAGGTGTCATAGGTCCATCGTGTATGAGCATTTCTGTCGTTGGCGTTCGTAACGCAGATTCGTTGAAATCCTCGGTTCCTAAAAGGGGCTGAGTGGGCGTAATGGGCCGTAAAAACTGCACTGCACCCGGGGTAGATTTAGAGGCTGATTGGTCCCCAGCGTAGGAAAAGGGAGGAGAGATTCGGCGAGCGCCACGACGAGTGAGCAGGCCTGGAGCTGTGTTTGCGCCATTCGTGGGATCCGATGAAGCCGTCACAGAAGGCGTTGAGTGGCTATCATCTCTTACAGTCAGAAGTCTAGATGCCGTATTGGACAGTCCGTTATCCTCGCCACCCATCGCCATTTCTCTCTGCTCCGCTATCATATCATTGGTGTCATGGGTTGGGCCAATCTCAGGACTCGACTCCGTACCATTCTCATCTTCCCAATTCCCATCCTCTGGGTCCTCAATATCAGCCTCCAAATCAGTGACCGCTCGGCAGTTTGGGCACAAGAATTGCGGCCAAGATTTATGATCATTGAGTATTGGCCGAATGCACTTGTAATGCCAGACGTGCGAACATGGTGCAACAAAGAGCGATTGGCATGGCTTGCAGATTTCAGCACAAACGGCGCCTGCAAAAGAAGGACAGGGTCCGGACTTACGGCTATTGACATTAGGCATATTGAACACTCGGAAGAATGAGAAGATGTTGTGTCAGAGTCTTTCTTCGTAGCTGTCTTTCCCAAATCACGGAGTTGCTTATGCGTCTTCACACTGTGTAAATGTCAGCCCGCAATTTTTCAGATTTGGTGCAGCCCAGTCGCTAACTTGTAATTATTGATGGTCTTCTGCCATGCCCGATTGCACTCCACCCGTATCTTCACGCATCTGAATATCATCTCTTCACCACCTCTGAAATCAATACCCAGTTGGACTACATCCCCATCGTGGACTGGGAATGGTTTTGACTCGGCACTTGGCTGGCTTAGTCTTATATGATTGAGGAAAGTTCCAGAAGAACTCTTGACGTCTTTGATGTACCATTGTCCCTGAGAGCACCAAAATTCGCAGTGTCTTCGACTGACCACTTTTGATTTGAACCCCACAGGAGCAGAAGATGGCGTATGCTGAGGGGGGTTGGGATTGATGTCACGCTCCGAGTATCGACCAACGCGAATCACACAATCTTCATGTGGGAGAGTCCTGGAGGTAGCTGGAAATGACAGAGATGGTCTATTAGAGCGAGGGTCTTGGTGTGGAAGGAGTCTGATGGTAGGCATTTGATCTTGGGGATGACCTGTTAGGCTAGAGGAAGCAGACTCAGAAGTCTTGTGCGCGCCGTTGGGTGCACTTCCTGCTCGATTCCTTGCCATGCCTTCTGAGTGTTCTCCAGTGGCAAAATCTAAAGGAGCTGCATGTAGAGCTTGCTCCGGTCCAGGTCTACCTTGGTTCCGCTCAAATTCGCCAGAGGTCGACACTGTGTTTGATAGGGGATTGATGGCACGCGATGAAGAGTCAGGCACTGGATCGGCTGGAGAAGTGATGGATCTGATGAGGCGGCTCCTGCGGCTGCGAGAAGGGGTCTATGTAGTGTTTGAGAATGGGAGGGTGGTGGTGGAGGAGAATTGGGTATGGCTTCGCAAGTATGTGAAACCTCGAATCTTGGAGCGTGGGGTTAAAGTTGATGATGCGGGGTTGTCAGTCGGTGGTGGTAATGATGATACGGGAGGCATAAACGAACGTAAATAAAGCAGACAATGAGTGTCAAAGTGTTGACTCAGGTGTTGATTCGGTGTCGTTTAACAAGTGTTAGCACAGCGTCAAATCAGTAGTCTTGTAAGGAGTAGCCGAGCGCTTTTGACATGGACCGTGGATGGACGAGTACCCAGCACTTACATGTACTTTACGTAGAGCAGGTAATCTTGCACTAATCTTCCACTACAAGTACGATAGCGCTAGTGCTCGATCGCCTCGGCAGCACGAATCGTTGTCATCGTTTTTCCGCGAAGGTACTACACTTTCGCCAAAACTCGCATGCCTTTTGAATCCAATCTGAGCGATGGGACCATGAACTGAAATGCAGGATCTACATCCTCTCGTGTTGTCTCGTACAGCTCGAAGTCGAAGCGTCGGAAGATCGTGGCTAGGGTCACGTAATTCTCCGCGTAAGCCCAAATATGTTGCATCCAATCAACTCTATGGTATTGATAGGCCAGCAATACGAGTGGAGACACACTTGATTGCAAGACACATACCTGGCCCCTTTCCAAAGGCGACGAGGTACTTTTCCAAATCCCTTCCAGAGTGGATCCATCACTCGGATTCGAACGCGAGGTGGTTGGGAAAGACTGCTTCGGTTCGGTAGGCAGCATCCGTGATGACCAAAATTAGACAAGACACCACTACCGCCCACACTCCAAGCTATTGAAAACATCAAGCAAAGCCATGGAGGAAGGTCACGACTGAGTCGGGCACCGCTATGGCGATCTGGTGGTTGAGCTGATATGGAACCGAACCAAGAGGTGGACTTGAATGGAAGTCTTTCCAGCACCGGTGTCGTCAAAGGGTGAAATGTCAGGCGTATTGTCAAATTCTGCTGGTCATGATTGAAGACTGATTCGGACCTGAGAGCGATCTTCGTCAGGTGGCCTCAACAAGCAAAGTGTGACTTGGTAGCTTGTTGGGGCCTGAGAGTAAGTTTTCGCTGGCTGTTTTGTTGACCAGCAAGATGGATAGCTGATTCAAGAGCAATGTCTGAATGATGCTGAAGCGCGTTGAGTAGTAGAGGTAGGTAGGCTTCGACCGCTCTTGGAGATCACACTGCAAGTAAGGGAAGGGTGACCCCTCAGCGAGGTGCCCATTTGACATCTCTTTCCAGGAGCATTCATTACTATTTGCAGGGACCCGAAATGATAGGAAGAGAAGAAAGCACATGGATCAACCACTGCTCACGCTTTTAAATATCTGACTCTGTTTCTATCTTCCTCTTTCTATCCTATCACAAACAAGTCGTTGCTCTGAGCAAATGGATATTTTATGTTGGAGGACTTGGAACAAGGCCCATTAACACGAGAGACCCCGGACTCCTGCACAAGCCAAGGCTCTCACTGTCGTGAGCTGGATGCTCTTGACTTGTATCGGTCTTAGCAACGACCCCAGGACCCTAAAGCACGGCGCCATGCGCCTATGGCCGGTTTGAGTCAACACCGTAGAACGGTGGGTAAAGCACAACATCCTCAACTATGTCTACGACCGGTACGCAGAGCTTTGTCTTCTACCATTAGGAGGCAGTGACGAATAATCGCACGTTTCTCAGCGATAGTGGGTGCGAGCTAGTGAATGAATGCGGACGCATGCGATATATGTACCGTTAATTCAAAGAAAGAAAGCAAGCAGCAGGCCTAAAGCAACGCCAGAAGAGTGGCTGGGTTCGAAATATGAATTGAAGTTCATTGAAATGCTATAAGCCAAGAATCACCCATGAGGCTTCTCAATCCTCCATGCAGCCTTTCCGTCCCAGTCATCGCTGCACCAATTTCCAGTCTCCATCACTCGTTTGGATCAACTCAATCTCGATGTCTTTTGCCATTTCATTCATCTCGCTCAATCTGTTTACAGGGACACGATCACTATTGCTCAGCTCCAAATCCTGTCCATGCAAGAGTAGGGCCAAATTCGAAGATTTCCAAATTAGGATATCGCGATTCCTCGACTCGATTATCGTGCCGAGCAAATATAGCAGCGACAGCGCTAACACCGTAGCTGGATAAAAGAACCATGCCCAACGGACGTGTACATAAGTCTCTGTCTTGTATGCGACGCCCTCGAACGTACTCGAATCGCTGTCCTTCTGTTGGCGAATATTGTTTGTCATAGAGGTCGCTAGGTTCTCGATGCTCTTCGAGTAATTTCGGGTATTGTAAAGGGCATGAATGATGTCCGAGGAGAAGGCAGAGCCCGAGCTTGACGAATTTATCCCACCACTACCAGTGAAAGTCTCGGACATGAAGCTATTCATTGCGTTTGCTGCGACGCTAGCCACCTTGAAAGTAGAGGCGTTGCCCGTGATGTTGATTATCGACTGTGGAGGATTGTATATCAGATCGGAGCCCTGGGAATGAGAAGCAGAGTTGTTGCGCCAGGTCTTCTCTATTCTTTGGTCTATGTCTCCATCGGTGACTGACGCGAAGTATGTATTGACGCAGTACAATAGCGCACATTCCCACGCCTGGACATCATCTGAATCATTCATCCTCTTGGAGAACAAAGACGAGAATCTGACCACAGATGCCTCGATGTCATCGAGATCTGTCGAAACCTGGCTAACGCTTGAGTTGATCTGTCCTCCAAAGCCTAAGAGCGAAGGTCCACCGGGCAGGAAGAATTCGTAGCATCCACTATCGTTGCACCTCTTCTCGACGGAAGAGGTGACATTGAGACATTTGCTACAAATGGCCAATGAAGAGAAACTGTTCCAAGTGCAGCTATAGAAGTTGAGAGACGCTCTGAATGTCGACTGTTTCATTACTTACTTGCCGGTAGAACAGTGATGATCCACCTTCACATCTGCTCGATCGTCAACGTCAAATACTCCACTGTAGATGGCTGCCTGGTTGGAAAATTAGTATTTTTATGATCAACGTGATCTCGCTTCTGAGATCACCTTCATGGAGATATCGACTATCGAAGGTAAGGGCAGGCCTTCATAACTACGAGCTTGATACCTCTGAGCTCTGACAATAGTGGCAACTTTATCGGATGCTACAAGCCTGTCCGGATAGACCACGACTTGCTGCAAAAACGGATCGAAGAGTAGCATCATGGCAATGATGATTGAGCCAACGAAAGTCAGATGTCTGTAGTTGCGATCAGCTTGTTAATGGAAGCATGATTTATGCACGCCTACCTTGCTTTGATGTTCATCAATAAGCTCACTGCTCCCCATGGCCCCCGACTGGCATCGTCGAAAAGCTGGAGGTCTTTGAGAGGGCGAGGCTCATCCTGGCGGTACCATAACCATTTCGATTGCGAGATCGAGGCTCCAACAGCCGACGTAATGGAAAGCTTCGCTATTGTGGCAAAGAAGGAGATGACTGAGTTTATCTACGCAAGTCTTCAGCATTATGTTGGAATGCAGGTAGCAGATAGATCGCACAGTAAATACAGAGGGCCAATCGGGAAGAGAACTTTGATCAAAAACGACAAGAATAACAATAATCACAATGATTGCTAGAACAGCAGTGATAGCAGATACAATCTCCCACAGCCACCAATTCTGGAAAAGCAAAATCACTTTTTTGGACACAGTAGCAGACTTATTGAGCGACTTTTTGAGCAGGGGAGTCTGAGAATCGGCATCTTGAGCATGACCATCAACATGGCTGCTGCCAGAAGTAGGCATCGTAGTCAACATTCACCGAGAGAATACCCTACGTCTCTCCAGTGCTTAGGATGAGTATGCTTAAGATATTTCTCGTGCTTGTAATGCCATTTCTGAGCGGTTGTTCACTGACTGGGGCTCAGTTAAGGCAGTGTCGCGTGACCAGAAAGGTCCTCGATTTAAGGCGTACTGTTCGGAGGAAGATGCTGCTGGGAGTAATGTTTCACACTTTAAAGTGTAAATTTAGCTTTGCGCGCTCGTGGGCGACCTCGTCCTAGAGCAGGAAGCTGTTTCATTAGACCTCAGTATGCAATCAAGTGGAAGTGTGTATTGGTATATCGATACCGATATTCCAATCATTACATTAACCCTAACAATTTACCAGCCTGTTGGGGAGAGATTCTGCAAAGTCTTAGGAATTTTTATATTCTTGTCATTTTCTACTCGCCTTTAAGTACATATCATATAGCATTAGATTTCTACGCAGTACAGTTATTTACTTAGAGAGCACGTATGGTAAAAATAGACATCTTATCGATAAGGCAACAGTCTTGGCAGCGCTCTCGAATGGTTCAAAGATTACCGAACAATACCTTAGTTTGAGGTATTGATCGTTTAGCAAGTGTAAAGGCCTTCGTAATAAAACGGCGTCCAGACCATCTCAAATTGGACGCCTATTCACGTGCACACGAAACAATCACGTCTATTTACTTCGGATTCGAGAAGCATTGAAAAGAGAGAGGTTCTTTCTGGTCACCATATTGCATGAGTCTAATACCTGCCATAGACATCGCTCCCATATTTCTTAATTGATATCTGACCTGGGGCAAAGGTGGGTAGCAGGCTTTGATACTCCCATATAATAGATGGCAAAAAAAGAGATAGTCGTTGAAAAACCTACGCCAGGCTCATCTGGTATCCCGAATGGGTAGGAGGACATTGGAGAGCATCTTTTTCGGTGCTTTCTCCTTGTAGAGTACAAAACGAAGTTGTTGACTATGAACTTTGACCATCGGTCACTCCTGCTGTAGTCAATGATCACACAGACATTCGATTTCATGCAATATCCGTGCGAGAACACATAAATATAGTATGAGGTTTTCAATTCGAAGAAATAGGGCGGTTTAATTGTAAGAGGATAAACATGGACAGCATAAGCATTCTTTGTAGATAGTATCAACAGTAGGCTCTTCCCATATGTAGACCCCTGGTGTATATTCAGCAACGCCAAGTAGTTATACAAGTCGATTGGACTCCGCTATGCAGACGAGAAGGAAGCCAAGACATAGTGGTATCATCGCACGATCTCTAAGATTTGCCCTTCCAAATACTCCGAAAAATGCCGCAGGCCTGGAGGACGATAACAATTGACTGTACAGAGACGACGTTCCAAGATATCATAGCAGGACCTTGTGCCTAGTTCGAGATTAGCAGACATAAGCAGTGAAGAGTATTCGAAGTCTGGACTTGCTCTTGCAGAACCCCCTCTAGGGTCGTAGAGTTGATATCCCGGCCAGCGGGCATTTCACTCATTAGCGACACCAGATTCGCAAAGCAATCGCCGCCTTTATATGCAAGGATCCCTGGCGCAGCAATTTCTTCCATCTCGGCATCCAGGAAATGCATCTTGACGAAGCGTGTGGTCGCATGTCTCCGGGCAATGTCTTTCAAGGCATCTTCCACTTTGCCACTCAGGGACGACTAGAGATGGCAAAAGATTAGCCGTGGCTCAGTATTCTCATGGCAAAGACCATACCTCATCGTCATAGATGAAAACCACAACGGTGGTGTAAGTGGCCACTTTCTCTATAGCATCAAGGTATCCAATAGGGTCGACAGTGACCAGTGAGCCGTATCTTCGCTGACTAGGACTTTGCCGTCTTGTCCGGATCCCCTGGTTACCGCTTGCCAGCTCACCCAATCTCTTTTCCCGCCACGTTCGCATGAAGTCGTCTTCTTCGTCATTTTCGGAGAGGTCAGGACTAGGGCTCTTGCTCTTCTCGTGCGTGAAGTTGATCTTCTTGTTGTTTACAATATCGCTGGAGAATGCATAGATTGTCTGTCGGAAGCTTCGTTTCTTGGCGGTCTCGAAGGAGCGAGCATCAGCTATGACTCCTTTTGGTCCAGTGTTGGCGTCGAATTGGGTGGTGGTGGGGAGATAGGTAGCGGCCGCAGGCATTTCGGCAGAGGTATTGGAGGCCAAGGTCTGCTCGTCGTCGTTACCAGAATTCAGAGTGGTGCTGTCGTTGTCTGAAGATTCCGATCTATCGTCTGGATGGCCGCTGAGCTTTTGATCCTGATTGTTGTTGTAGAGAGCGTTGAATTCGTCTTGCGCAGAGGTCGACATAACTTGTGAACGGGAACGTGCGCAATGCACCACAACGCACTTGCAAATGGCTCGAAACGAAGTGCGTTGGCTATATGGGGTCGCGTTTCAGCAGCGTGTTGATCAGGTACGCAGGAGCGTCAAAAGTCTCGGCAAGGTGAGAATTTTGAAGGATTCGGTCGGTGTGTGCGGCAAAGCGATTGAATTGAATAAATTTCCGGGGGGAGGGGGGGGGAGATGAGGAGGGGAAGAGTGAGACGTTGGTTGTTGTGGGTTGGTTCAAGGCAAGGTCGCATCAAAACTTGGTGTGTATTAGAGTAGTAGTGCATGTAGCAGAAGAGTAATGATGTGAGAGTAGTGTTTTACGAGTAGCTAGGTATTTGATCATTTGAACAAACAGAGAGAAGAAGAATAATAATGAGATAAGGAGTCAGAACTGTTATTACTGGAGCGTGTTTGCTGCCTTTATGGTCTCGGTCACTTCGGTGACGGTGAAGGTGAAGGGTATGAAAGGTGAAATGTGAAAAGGGGAATCCTGGAAGTTTGCAAGGATTACTTACTTACCCTTTACAAGAGACACGAGGAAACAGGGATCAAGTTTGGGTGCCCGGTGGCTCATTTTGAAAGTACTTAGTACCTTAGGGTGTGATATACTGGTAAAGGTAGTGGTTGGCCCCCTGGCCGCGTCGCCCTACAGGTTTCATCAATCATTTTCGCTAATAATAATAATAACGATAATAATACAAGATTACCTACATGTACTAAACTCTAAAGTATGATTTCCTATCACGAGGATCTTCGTTAATTCTACACTAATGTTTCACTCCATCATCCCACACCCCCATCACCCTGACACGCAGACCTCTTTCGTTAGCCTCATACTACCCGTACCTTACTACTGATCCCAAGCTCCCATTATCCCATATACCGTACCCTACTTTTACCCTTCAAAAGCCAAGACTCGTAAGCTTCCCTAATATCAAATCAGACCCCCAGTAGGAATAGTACCTTATCATCAAAATAATCATCCCAATCTGAGAATTGAACACTATAGCCAGAGCTGCGCGATGCCTTCAGTGAAGCTACTTCGTCTGCTGATCCCTGATCGAAAAGAGAAGCGTTTGGCTTCTCTTGGAGCTGCTGTCGGCCATTGACATCAAACCATCTGCGACAGATCCATTGGCTAGCCTTTGAATAAGTGGGGGAAGGAATGGAAACCACACAGTGGGCGCCTCTTTCTGTTACGAGCAGCTGAAAGACATGGGTCCTGTTTATGGATGAGCATCACCATCTTGGGACGTCTCTTACGCGCCACTTTTTCCCCATCTTCCCTACTTGGCTTGTATTTTGCCAAAGCGGTCATGCCCAAGAAGCTAGAGAGGCTTGGCAGCCGTACATGTCTCGGATGGCTCGAGGGTTTCCTGCCTTTTTCTGGAAATCACATCTGATGGTGATACGCCCAGCACACTGGGGGTCCGATGAGCTGGTTCGGAGGGCCGAATTGTTTAGGCGGGCTGTCAGCGTAAGCACACATACGGCTTCTGTGTATATATGGCTGCGGTAAGAGTCAGCCGCCTCGCTGTCCTGTCAGCAGGATCGTACAGTGGAGGTAACCAAACGACGTGGTGAATGAACTTGCCGAAATGGTATAAAGGCTTTGGAACCATTCTTGGAACTTTTGTACAACATCGAGGGTTTATGAAAGATTCGCTATGAGCAGAGGCCGACTGCTCCTTCGTCGACAGGGTAATATGAGCACTAATTGAGGGGGTCTGAACGCAATGACAAACGAAACAATAGTACAGGAAGTTGAACGCTCTGAACATCGCTTGTCCCTTGAATGCCGTAGCACCTCTTACGCATTCCCGCCCATCCCTCAAAGTTCACCAGCCAGTGGGCGCCTCAGGAAAGAACGGGGTATGGAGAAAGAAAGAGTATACCTTCGAGGCTGCGCCAAACACCGCTGCTGCTCCTGCGTAAAGCACAAAAGCCTTCTATCATTGTCCAGATGTCCGGCCAGCTTGGACCCATAGAGCTCGCTGCGAGTCAAGAGAAATTCTGGCCAGGTCCTCATGGAAGTGATGCCCTGCGCAGGCGTAAGGTACGACGGGAAGGACAACCGAGGCATCTGGCCCGTCCTGTTGCCGTGCGACAACTTTTGCTGCCGAGAAAGATTGGGACTAGGTGCTGAGGAACTTTGACGCCTAGTACTTTTGGTAGTGTTCGTTTTGTCGAGTGAGAGAGGGAATATATTTGAAGAATAGTGTGCCCAACATGGCAAAAGAATCGAACGAACGGTATCCAGCGCTTCGCTTAGGAAGATTGCATCAACTCGAAGCAGTACACCTGCATGCTTCGTTGAATAAGATCCCCCAAGTTTACGTGACGACTCCATTGTGTTCCAAAAAGCTCCATATCTTCATAACACCGTCCACCTGTGTTGTCGCATGGTATCAGAGGATGATCGTAATTACAAATTCTCACCGCTTTAGGCATCGAAATCGCCTGCCTTATCGCAATGGGGCAGATGATGAGTTGGTAAGCTTTGGTCTCCGAGCGCAAAGTCTAGCATCCACCTCCACCAACAAGGCCGACATTATCATTACCAAGCCCAAACCTTGAGCTGTTAAAGAAATTCATGGTTAGCCAGAGCCATTTTCTCAGAATGAGTGAACTTACGGTGGAGTCCCAAGATCCAGTACACAGGCTCATTCCATCGTTGCTCACACCCAGACAGCTCACTCGGTTTTCATGGCCGTTAAGATTGCCCACACGGTCACCCCGGAGCACATCCCAGACCTGGCAACAGGCATCAGTATTGTATGCTTCTTGAGCGAATTTTGACCACCAATAATAATCAAACTAACCTTGCATTCAAAATCGTCATAACCTGCGAATAGTAGACGCCCAGAGACTGAGAAGGCAACAGACGTGATGCCGCAAAGGATCTGGTCGCTGGCGTACGTGTTGACTTCTCGATCTGCGCGAATATCGAATAGACGGCAGGTAGCATCGTCGGAACCAGTACCAAAGGCCTGACCGTCAGGGAAGAATTGCACTGCATTGATATCTGACTCGTGGCCTGCGAATGTTTGTACGGCTTTTCCTGTGCGGATGTCCCAGAGCTTGGCGAAGGCATCGCATGCTCCAGATATGAAGACATGTTGATTTGTGGGGTTTATGCTGATGCTCATGACATCTCCTAGATGATCGGCAAATTCTGTGACTTTCGAGCCGGTCTCGACGTCCCACAGCATACATGTCATGTCGCCAGAAGAAGTAAGGATTCGACGGTCATTGATGAATCGGCAGCAGGAAAGGTAGCCAGAGTGGCCTGAGAGCTCGCGGGCAACACGAGTAGGTCCCTCCCGTGAAGAGAGGTTGTAGACTGAGCAGATATTATCCAGTCCGCCGCAGGCAACGTAGTTTCCGCTGGGAGCATATGCACATGTCATGACCCACGAGGATCGAAGGGGTATAGCATGAACTTTGTTTGTTGTGTAAGCATCCCAAATGATAAGTTTACCATCCTGTGAGGCAGAGACTAGATGTCTACGATCTGTAGACCAGTGCATAGCGTAGATTTTGGCCAAGTGACCTTTGAGGACCTTGCGAGCCTTCATGCCAATCCGCGGCAACGCATCGGTATTGCTTTGTGCTATTCCTCGCACTGTTCGGGTAATAGTCAGTCCATGCCGCCCATCATGCGAAAGAAGAATTTTAGGAGTTTAGGAGTTTAGGAGTTCAGTGGAGATATAGAAATGCTGCGCTCGACGCAGGCAGGAGCTTTCGACGCACATGATGTATCGGCGAGTTCTTCCTTCTTGCGCTTGATTTTGTCCTTCAGACTTTCCGCATCGCGTCGTGCAGCAGCGATTTTTGCCTGCATCTGCTCCCCAGACATTTCGGACATTGTTGAAAGCGACTATCCTGAGGAAGGAGACGTTTTCGCGATGTGAGGAGACAATGACCGTGATTGGTGGGATGGGAGTCGAGGGGACAGTAGGGGGTTTGAAAGGCCAACACCAGGTTTACGGCCCCGACGGATTGCGACCCAGAAGACAGGTAGGAAAAGCTGAGGCTAGAAGGAGATTTTCATATATGGATATGTCTTTGAAAAAGTGCCGGCAGTGTGACGATGTCTGTTGTCGCTGACAGCTGGTTGCGTGGCCGATGAGTTGGGGTAAGAAGTGGGTTTTGCGACTTGCGTCGTTTCCAGGAAGGAGCAGGGCGGGAGTTCCAATTGGGTGTAGAACTAGCGCAGCTAGCCGAGGCTCTAAGACGAGGAACTGCCCACTGCCCACTGCCCAGCCTTTCTCCCACCTTTCTTCCGATTATGATGACGATGATGACAACGATTCTTACGACGAAAACCCACCTTGATATACGAGTCTACCAAGCAGGGGGGAAATCGAATTCATAAAAAGGAACATGTCATTGCCAGGCATATATTGGCGTAGGGAAACTCATTTACGAGTACTACGAGCTGTGCGAGGCGACTCGGTAGAAAGCCTGGCCTTCGATCATCATCCCACCAAGTGCCTTAGCCGCTTCTCCTGCATGACAATTTGACTGCCAAAATAGAAACTGGGAGGGAGACCAATGAAAATAAAAGGGCGGGGCCATGGGTCCGAGCCTCGATGATGGGATCTACTACTTACCGTCTTCCAGTTCCAGCTACTCGGGTTTCGCCTTTCTTTCGTCAACGGCTTCCAATCTTTGCTTCTTTCAAGACACCTTCCACAACCTCTGACGGCCAAAGGACTGAAAACTTTGACCCTTACTTATCTCCGCTTTAGGTGCTTCTGTTATGATTTCCAAACAGAGCTCCGTCTAAGTATGACCCTGCCTGGTCTCCGACCGATATTCAAGTGGAATAATATCGCTCACTTGCCAAAGCAACACGAGTCCCAACAAGGAAGACGACTTGCGGTCACAGGCTTGCGGAACGTCTGAGATGGAAAGTCATCTCTGTAAGGGCGAGGGTATGCAGTGTGAATGACCGTGTCCACACGTTCCGCAATTCGACCATGACGGATTGCCTTTCGGACTGAAGCCCATTCGGCCATTGGGGGTCGCTCAAGCAGCACGCAGTCCATACAGTCTCACTGGAGTCTAGCGCGTTCCGTCATAAAGCTGCGCGTCTTCGCAATAGGACTGCACATTGGTGAAAGCCACTATGACATGTTCAAATTTCGGAATGATGAGCTAAGTGCAAAGCGGATTTGCATCTGGCGCCGAGTGAAGAGTGAGAGGATGAAAGCGTGGATTGATACGGTGAAGCAGGGGGGCATGGATTGAAATTTTGGGGTGTGAAGGACTGCAGCATTTAGACTTGTTCCACTCTTTTCCACCTTTCTTGCTTCTCTTGAGAATGCGGTGGAACAGAACCGGCTCTCTTAGGGCGACATGGTATTCCCCAGGTTTTTGGTGGTCTTCTCCCAGTCGCTAAGGAGCATCGCGTGCCTCAGCTGGTGGCGGTACAATAAGATGCAACTGTGTGGGCAGTGGTTGTCCATAGTCTGCAAAGCATATACCATAGACACGTATGCCCAAGACTAAGACGAAAGGCTTTTGAAAAGCTGTACATCTTGCGGCCAAGTGACACATTGGTTCCCCACGTGAGGAACGGGAAATGGACAGGAGACAAATGCCAGGTATCCGCAGATTAAAGCACTGGCAAAGAATAGAAATCACTGGTAGATACAGTAGTATCGCTAATGAGAGGAGACAATCGAGCTAGACATAAGATTGATGATCTGTAAAGGGATTGTCTAGACATCAGGAGGTTGGATACAGCAGGGTAGATAATAATCCTCACCGAAAGTTCGAGAGGCACATGAGACAAAAAGAGGATGGGGCGTCTGCCTTCGAGAACGTCTGTCGATCGAGACGACTTCGATGCGAAGCGGAGCACTCTGAGAGCGCGCTAAAGCAAATCTCCTGCCGCAAACTCTCGACTACCATTCTCCATTATTAAATTCATCCCCCTTCTCCATCAACAACATCTTGCTTCGAAAAGCATTCAATCCTCTTTCGCCCCAGCTCTACGACCTATTTGCGTTGCATTCGTTGCTTTGCTCGCGAATCAGCGGAGCAGCGCGTGCACTCTGCCCGAGCGGTATTGCCTCTTTCTCTGCTTATTGATCAAGATTCTTTTAGTCGACATGGCAGCAGCAAGCTCCGTCTGAACTTCTGCACTTGATTGAGCCTCTACTTCAAGACTGCACGAAGCATCGCTCAACAACATACATAATTTGTAGCAAGTCGCCAACTCGTGCTCGTTTTCCCGCATTGCTCCCGACCCCCTCATTTCCGTCACTTCCATCCATTCTTCTTTATCCCAAGCGCCATACCAACCCAACGAATAGAACAGTCGGCGTGACCAGCCCCTATACTCTGTCAAGATGAGGGAAGTCAACTTCAGTATCCCAAATGTCAATAAAGCGTCGGTAGGCATTACCACTGCCCTATACGACCGTCGAGCTCTCGACTGCACCTCAACTCTGCCATTGATCAACTCGCTCAACCATCTTGCATACCTCACGACATCTTCTGCGAGGATAAGAGACATCCTCACCATTGATGGCGGTGTGGAGAGGTTAGTATGCATTCTGAAGCAGGGCAGGAGCCAGGAAATGATGGAGATGTGGAAATGGAACCTAGCTTTTCAATGCGTTGTCAACATTGGTGTCCGTGGTTCAGAGAGTGTTCGAACGAGGGTCGTCGAAGCTGACATGGTACCTGTCATCGCAACGATACTTGACAACTATATCAAGGTCATTGACAAGTGTCGGGAAAAGGCCGAAAACGAAGCAAAAAGGCGGACACCGTTGCAGATCCCACAACCACGAAAGTGCCAGCAGAAATCCATAGCTTCTCCCACAGGCACTTTCGAACGGCAAACTTTCCAAGAACGGGTCAATGTGTTGCCTGACAACAGACCCTTTCGTCGTCATGAGCCTCCACCAGCAATAGAAATACCACAGCCTCTGTCTCCGCCCAATTTCGAGCAGCAACACCAACACCACCTGCACCAGGCTCCCGATGCTACGGCTATGGATCTGACTCCAACGCTGCCTCAATTTGCGACAATTACGACCCCCGAGCGGACTACATTTACGCGACATCACCACCATCATCACCACCATCACCACCATTACCACCATAGGAGCCAAGACGGTCGGCACCATGTTCATGGAGGGAGTACGAGCGGTAGCAGACACAATTCGATGCAGACAATAGCCGCAGCTGTACCCCCAATGGAACCGGGTGAGGGATTCGGACTTCGCCCCGTGCGCGACGTTGACCGACTACCATCTATGTTACCTGCTCTACCTGCTCTCCAGACAGGCATCACTTCGCAGCCAGAATCTCCAACTACTCCAAATGCACCATCAATCCGTCCACCAATGCGTGGTACCAGGGACAGACGAAGACCATCTGTACGCCAACAGCAGTCCAACTCCGGCGACTCTGATGATGCCAATGGGGATGAAGCTGTTTCTGAAGCGTCTGGGACCAACGAGAACCTTGATGAACCCATGATAGACATTCAAGCAGCTGTGGATATCCAGGAAGCTGAAGACGAGGATCCAATGCTCGATGCTGTCACGACAACTTTAGGTCTCACAGCCCCAAATGCTGTATCGGAAGGTCAAGAAGCGCAAACCTTCAACATCACTCATCCGTCTGCCAATGATGGAAGCATCATAAACGCCAACGTAACTCCGACTAATAACAATATCGGCTTTCCACAAGCTCCACAGCCAATGGGGGTTGTGAACGTAGCAAACCAAGCTCTAGCACAGAACACCCATGCACGCTATCTTCTCGATCGATCTGCGCCTCCAGGCATTTTGGCCGCCACCCCCCGGGATGAGGACGTGTTGATGTCGCTACAGCTTCTTGCCTACGTATCAAAATACTGTAATCTCAGGACGTATTTTCAACAATCTCATCTCGTTCCTAAATTGAAGATTGGCAATAACCTCAATGCCTTGGATGAGAACAATTCAAGCGATTGCCACGAAAGTGATAACTCTGACGAAGAGGAGTATCTGCTTTCAGACGACTTCAACATATTCCCGCTTGTTGAGAAATTCACTGTCCGCCATCACTCGCAAGATATGCAGCATTGGGCTGGCGTCGTGATGCGAAATTTGTGCCGCAAGGACGACGCTCGTGGTGGCATACGCCAATGTGCTTACTATGAGTGTGGGAGATGGGAGCAATGGACTAGGCAATTTGCCAAGTGCCGTCGCTGCCGCCGCACAAAATATTGCAGCAAAGAGTGCCAGAAAAATGCTTGGGTATGTACAAATCAAATTTTCAAACTCATCGTCTCCGAGTTGGTGTAGAATCTTGGGCCACAAGACACATAAGAGGAGGGGGGGCCAATCCCTGCTTAACCCCCACAACACTGTCTCATTACTCAGGTCCCTGCTCCGAAGAGAACATGCTGACTCTGAATTCCCGAAGGTTTATCATCGACATTGGTGCCAAGTGGCGGCGCAGTGACCCAGTCCTCACTCCTATCGATCTCCTTGCATTCAATTGCGTTCGACCTCCTTCTTGAAGTTAGCGGCATCCAGTATTGCAAGCGGTATTTCTTGGGCCCCTGGGCGTTAGGTGCGGGTGATCAGGTCATCCACGAGTCTCTCTTTTACGGCACTATCTTCTCATCAGCGACACGCTATACCAAGCATCATGAATCGACTTCGATATCCCCAACAATCTCACGACCCATGTTACCCGGCAAACTTGTCACGAACTTTTTGTGCTCCTCACTAGCGATCAACGACCTGTTGACGGTCTTACGGAAAAGACACGGCGTTTGGACCATTTATTCTTAGCCTTTGCATGTCTACCTTTGTCGGTTGATTATACCCTCCCGCATAATACATACCCTACGCTCCGGGATGCATGACCGCTACGAAGTGTGGAAGTCTGCAGAGGGCGTCAATTGTTTAGTAGCGGCCCCAAAGGTCTCTTTCATGTCCGAATTCTGTATTTACTATAGTATGGGCCCTCATCCTATGCAGCACGCCATAGTTGAGAGAAAAATTATTTCAAACCAGTGGCTCTTTTTCAAGATATTCAGATAGGATATGCTGTAATGAGACCTGTTCACAGGAGTACGCAATAAGTCCGAGTCTCAAACTTCTGTCAAAGACCCAAAGACTGGAAATTTGAGTGTGTCCATCTAGACATTCGAGTATTCTATTCGCTAATCACGCTCTGGCGACTGCAATTTCCCCCAACCGTACGTCTCCGCGAGCCTTTTTTTCAGATAGCCCTCTGCGGTCACCGTCTTCACACCTTGCTGCCTCTTTTCCGTTTCTCTGTCACGTATCATGTCACTCGGGACAGCTTCTATCTCGATATGGTCCGAAGGATGGCAAAAGTATGCTATACTATACCTATCTTCACTCTCCCCTTCTGGGAAGACAACTCGGTGCACGGTACTCTTAAGCAGTCCATTCGTCCAGAAATGCATCAAATCCCCAATATTAACGAGGATCGGTGGATAGGAGTCATCTTCTGTGCCAGGTGGTTGTATAGGTACGGGAGACCAGGACGAACTTCGAGTAAGGATCTCGAGGCCTGGCTGGGAGGCGCGCTGGAAAAGGAGGGTGAGGGAACCTATGCCTTTAGTGAAGTCATTCTTCTCTTTGAATCGTCTGAAACACTGGCGCTTACCATAATCGCTGTGAGCTCCGGCTCGGATGTCGACGGTAGTGTCCAAAGATTTATCCATTTCGACTGCGGGATACTGCAGAAATCGCGCACCTTGGTATCAGCTCTCACCTGTTGCCCATAGGGACGCACACACATGAAGCAACCGAAGTACGCTGCCGGAAGAGCCTTGAGATGGATCATGTCGAGACGAGAACCAATCCTTGCCACCTTGGTTGGGATCGATCTGGGTCTAGTCAGGCAGGGGCAAATCAAGGAGCCGCACACAGTTTCATACTCTGAGACCAAGAGCAAAGAGGCGCAGGAGCTTAATGCAGAGCTCATGACAAAGTACTCCGAAATGATATAGCTCGGCTTCATGTGAAGCAAGAGATGGCGGTAAAGGCTGTTGTGCTTTGCCATCGGTAAATTCGCCAAAGTTCATTGCCCTAGTCAACAATGTCAGTCGTTACGGCACTGAACCCCGGGTTTGGAAGAGAACTCTTTAAAGTCTCCACGCTGTAGGGGTTAGCGATGTCTTGTACGGTTGAAAAACCCAAGTACCTTCTCTTGATGGTTTCGAAGTCAGCCTTACTCTTTCGAGAGGAATCCTAAGTCGCGAGACATGTCTTAGGAGCAGGGAACTCTTTAGATATGTCTGATGACTTATAGGACAGCGTCAATGGGGAAGAATCGCCTCGGAAAGTATAACGTACGGGTCTTTGGGTCCAATGTTTCTGAGTGCATTGACGACCAACCGATATTCTGGCAGTATGTGAGAGACGAGCTCAGAGGAAGCTCAACAGCGGAAGGGGTTTACATTGGCTTGGATAGCACATTCCTGTTTCTCTTCTATGGTTGATGAGAAGAATCTTTGTGACTATCCACATCATTAGAATTGTCTGTACATCTAGTAATTGCTTCGGTCTGACCAATGCAAAGGCATTATCGAGAGTCTGCTTCGTGAAACCTACTCCTTCACCCCTGACAAACACAAAGCCATATCGAGCAACCGCATCTACTAGCTGGCCCGCTGTGTCCGCTGCACTGGCTTCGGATATGTCAATGACTGGGATCTGTAGGCTTGAACCATTGCTCCGTCTGGCATCCATGTTTTCCCTGAGCCAACTCAGGGCAATGGTCTCAGAGAAATAGAGTGTTCGTCTGGGTATCGTCTACCCTAAGTGATGTCGCATATCCAAATCCGACAGCTGTACGGGAAAGGGGTTTTCCTGTCCTGTACCTTACTATAGGCTCTATAAGGATCGTAGGGCTTAGCGCCGGGCCCGAATTCAATTCCGCGCGCGAGGCCCAGAGATATTCCGAGACCTCTAGCAGCTTGTCTCTACTCTACGAACACACCGTGTCCTTGAAGCAGGTGAAGGGCGCTTGGTGGAGGCCGTCCATCTAACTCTTAACACGTTCCTTTTGTCTTCTTTCCTTATCTTGACGATGGGGGGTAAGCAAAGCTCTTACACACAAGACAGAATTTCCCGTTAAAGCTAACCTTTCTTTAGTCGTAGCTTTTGATGTCTGGGCGGCAGAGAAAGGTATCGCCAAGTCCTTCGATCTGAAATTCCTTCAAGATCGTGTCATAGGCATCGATGCTGCCTACTACATACAAAGTCTGAACAAAGATCCCCTATTGTCCGCGCTGGGAGGGCCTCCCCTGGCTTTCGAGTTGACCGTAATCAACGCCGTGAAGCAATTGCAAGATGCTGGACTGAAAATACACTTTGTTTTCAACGGCTTGGAATCTGGCGTTGGAAGTGATCCAGTTGCAAGCTCCGCAAGAGCTGCGCACTTGGCCAGTGAGGCTTTCACTCTCTATGAAACCGAACAAGGCAAACAGGCCAGAGACGTGTTTAAGGCTTCAGGTATGCTCTGATCAATTCTTCCACGTTGGAAATAGTATTTAGCTGATAATCAGGTCACTGTTATCCCTCGGCGCTGTCCGAAATCTTGAAAAAGACGCTTCATGAGCAAGGCGTACCTTTCACCGTCGCACCTTATAGCGCACTAGCTCAGGTACGCTTGGTTGGTCTATGCGTACAAGCAATGCTGACCATCTGTAGCTTGTATACTACGATAATCACCCAAGTCAATTCATCGACGCCGTGTACGGCCCATCGGAGCTCTTTTGCTTCGGCATCGACAAGCTCATCACTAAATTCGAGATCACCGATGATAGCCAGCATGTGGCCGAGAAGAACAAATCGGAGTCTCCTGTCCTTGAGCTTGCAAGATTTCAATGGATCGATCGACGAGACTGTCTTGCAGCGCTCGGTAATATATCTGTGAATGTTTTCTCCGATTCTCTCATGTTGGCTGGTTCCGGCCTTCTCCCCGAATTCCCACCTTTAGAAAACGAAACTGTCTACCGCAAACCATTTAGTATGCGCAACGTTGTCGACATGCTCACATCGTGTGGAGGTAGTGTTGCGCGCTTGTGTGCACAGTATTCTACCGATCCTGCTGTAAAAGGGGTCTACTTGGACCAGTACAAGAGGGCCTTGACAAGAATCAGACACCACATCATAATGACCGATGAAGGAGATGTTGAGATCTTAGGCAAGGACCACGCTCCCGATGATGCTCATGAATGCATTAGCCTACGTCTACCCGAAGAACTCTACATGTATCTCTCTCGTGGTATGCTTCGTCCAAGGGTCCTCAACTGGTTGACCACTGGCAAGATCTCTATCATACAGCCTCTTTCAGGCGGTGATGGTCGACCTTATCAAAATCTTGTGAAGTTTCAGCTGGACCCATTGAGGAGGCAGGCACTATCGCTTTTGACTGAGCCAATACATCGGTATTATCATTCGAGAGATATTACGACAAGCCTTTTGTTTGACCCCACATACGAGGGGAGATTCAACATGAGGGATGTATCCTCTCCTCGGGACTTGCTGTCGAAGTGGAACGTCAAGAACAATCTCATAGCGGGGGTACATGAATTTTCACCTGCAGTGATCTTCCAAGCTAAATATTACTCTAGTATTCCACAGAAGACTTGCCAGCAGGTACTCTCTCATTTGCGATCCTGAGCTTGGAGAATCCCGAGTTTGCTGCGAAGACAGTCACGCAAAAGCCAAAGGCTGGACAAGAGGTGAGAATCGAATTATTGAAGTTTGAACGAGGCGCTGATTGTGCCAAGCCCTTGAAGCACCGCGATGAGATACTCGCAAACGCAGTTTGGCGCTTGCTTCAGCTACGAGGTTACCTGAACGAGCAGCACCAGCTTACAGAGTGGGGCAAAGTATTGGAAGCTGTTTGGTCGGCGTCAGGCACGAGGAGAGACGAGGAAGAGGCTGCGCTAATTGCAGTAGAGCTGATGCGTTTTGAGCTCATTAATCCGGACACCATGTTTTTAGGTTATGGTGGTGCACCGGGGAATGGATCAGGTCGGTGCCGATGCTTGAAGTGGACAGGCTGACTATTGCTAATGATTACACCAGATATTGACAAGCGCAATGCCATGCTGGTGTCCCGCGTTGCTTGTCTCGGCAAGATTCGCCATTCGGCCAAGGGCTATAGTGGTCCCTTGAGTCGACACATGCTCGCTTACCACTCGATCGTGTCGAATGTGCACACAAGCCTGCGTGATTTGCTAGAGATGATCGTTGCGGCCATGTTCTTGGAGGGACTCGTTGATAGAGACCGCAACGACTGGGCGGATATCTCTCTCGGGTACGTCTACTGACCTGAGGCATTTATTGTGACATCATTTCCTAATGCTCGTACAGCTTGCCATTCTACCAAGAGCAGTCATGCGCTCTCGGGGTCTTGACAATGCACTTTCTGGATGACTTGTGCAACTACTCAGACCCTACATCGGAGAGTACTCGGGCCGAAGTGAAAAAGAAAGGACAAGAGTGGATTATGCACGGCGATTTCAGTGGCAGCTTAGACGATGCTTTCCGCATTTGGGATGCAGTGAGTGAACGAGTCAAGTAGGTATGGATCATGAGTGACGCTTATTTTGTCTCTAGGTTTACCAAGGAGTCAAGGTAGCTGGTAACAAGTTGAAAGATACCGACATCTGGGATGAAGTCGATACCTGGCTATCTCAGAGGAAATGAGGGAGGTGAGATAAGCTTGGCATGTGTGTGCATGTGCTTCTTACGCAAAGGCCAAAGCATGCAAATGGTAATCCATCACTTGTCACTTTGCCGGTATGTGTGCGTCCAATCAACGGGACGCTGAATTGACAGCTTGAAAGACTTCGCTGACAGTGATGGTAAGTATACATGTAGATAAAATGGTATGTCAGGAAAAGGTTGACGTTGTGTGAGAGCAGCCCTACTGGCTTCGATCTGGTCATGGTCAAACTCACGCTTGTATTGGATGGTAAATCGAAGAACTCATCACATGTTGCTGTGGCTTAAGACGATGCGCAATATATTCGGCCTTGTAGTATTCACTCGTATGTGAGAACAGTCGTCTCCGTATGCGTCGATTGATTGACACAGTACTGAAATCTGATCGGTGGCAAATTTCAGTGGTGCGGTTCTGCCGCGCCACTAAAGGTTTCCGCTACTGTGTCCTTACCGGTGGTGCCGGTACTTTACTTTATTACTAAAGATACTACTTCTCGTGATCAACCAGGTTTTACGTATACCTCCTGTCTCTCTCGATCAACACGCAGTCGAAGAATCAGTTTAACCACCACGCCTAAACAGCATTTATTCATACAACTGCCATCATGGTTAGACTGACCTACCTCCTCCTATCCGCCTTTGCTCTCCTGGGCGCCAATGCAGCCTCCTCTGTCCTCGACCTCGTCCCAGACAATTTCGATGACATCGTTCTAAAATCAGGCAAACCAGCACTGGTCGAGTTCTTCGCCCCTTGGTGCGGTCACTGCAAGAAGCTAGCCCCCATATACGAAGAATTGGCTACCAATTTTGAGTTTGCCAAAGACAAGGTGTCAATTGCAAAGGTAGACGCCGATGCAGAGAAGGACCTCGGAAGGAAATTTGGTGTACAGGGTTTTCCCACACTGAAGTGGTTCGACGGCAAGAGTGATACGCCTACAGATTACCAGGGTGGCCGGGACTTGGAGAGTCTTTCCAGCTTTATCTCCGAGAAGACGGGCCTCAAGATCAAGACAAAGAAAGCAGCTCCAAGCGCCGTAGAGATGCTTACGGACAGATCTTTCAAGGCTGAAATTGGAGGGGATAAGGATGTCTTGGTGGCCTTCACTGCACCATGGTGTGGACGTATGTTGAAGTCATTCTCTGGATTATGTTTAGCCCGACGTTGCTGACCTTGTCGCAGACTGCAAGAGCTTAGCGCCAGTTTGGGAACAAGTAGCAACCGACTACGCTTCGGAGCCCGATGTCTTGATCGCCAAGGTCGATGCTGAAGCCGAAAACTCGAAAGCTACAGCTCAAGATCAAGGCGTCAAGTCATACCCTACTATCAAATACTTCCCCAAGGGTTCTACCACCCCTGAGCCATACGAAGGCGGTCGAACCGAGCAGGATATTCTTTCATTCATGAACGAGAAGGCCGGCGTTCACCGCACGATTGGCGGCAAGCTGGATGAAATTGCTGGCACGATCCCAAGTCTGGACACCATCGTGAGCAGGCTTACTGGTGGCGAAAGTATTGCCAGTCTCTCGGAACAGATCACAGCTTCTGCAAAGGCATCGAAGGATAAGTATGCGGAATACTACGTCAAGGTCTCGGAGAAGCTCGGCAAGAACGCTGGATATGCGGAGAAAGAGCTGGCCAGGTTGCAAGGTCTGATCAAGAAGGGGGGTTTGGCGCCGGAGAAAATCGATGATTTGACTTCTCGGTCGAACATCTTGAGACGATTCAAAGGCCAGGAACCGGTTGCCAAAGAAGAGTTGTAAAGATTTCGACACTGTACGATAGAGAATGAAAAGCAGTCTGGGGCACACCTCAACAATGTCCTTCGAGGAAGCCTTTTTTCCATTATGAGGCCAAGTCCTGAATTCTCTGCTAAAATTCACATTGGGGTGACTATACTTCCACCTAATTCATACTCCAGGGCTCTTCCTGTTGTACTGCTATTGTAATCCGCGCAGGCGGCAGTCCCACCAATTTTTAGTGAAATGTAAATAGTTTCAAAAACACGCTGCAAAGGCCGACGAAAGATATCGCCATCCGCCCCGGGTATACGCAAAATATGGTTGTAGGTGCGTGTATATTGTAAGAAATTGCACGCATATACCCTTTCAACTTTCCCTGCTCTCTGAGCTGTTCCCCGCTTTGATGGCTGCTTCCATATCGTCGAGCCGTTGTGACATCTCGTCCACTATGAACGATTAGTCGATATTCGAGTCAAAAGGGCGGTAGCTCTCCGTACTTTTCGCAAACAATTCGGCTGAGACTTTTGAAAATTTGGGACCAAGGTTATTTAGGAGGTTGTCGACGGCCTTAACAAGGTCGTTCTCGTCTCCTGTGCTCAACGCAGTCTGTAATAATGCCAGTGGGTCAGAAGCCGGTGAAATGAAGGGCAAGAAGACCATACACTTGGCCGAGGGTTCGGATCTCGATTGGCTGAAGACATTCAACTGCGGTACGGAGGTATTTTGCCTAGGATCCAGCACGAAATGAATCCAACTTATACAGGCTTGTTGCCCACATAAGGGTAATAAGTAGAAGGGAGGAATCGCGTCCGTATATCCAAGATTCTCCATATAAGAATGTTGTGTTGCAATATCAACCAACGGGTGGATGGACTGATTTTGCAAAGAGCTTTGTTGCACAACCACACAATTTTCGGACTCCACTTACACCGTGCCATGGCGAAGAAGGGCAAACTACTGACAGCGCTCGACGCTCACAAGGGCCGCGATTACAACTTACAAAAGCAAAAGAAACAGCAAAAGCAAGCTGCCAAAAAGAAACGCACGAAAGATCCGGGATCAAATTCGGAGGAAAAGGAAAAGGAAAAGGAAAATGCCGAGGCGCAGGCCAATGGCATACCATATATGCCTGGAGCCGAGAGCGACGGCTGGGAAAGTGATGAGAGTGAAGCAGCAGAAGCTATAGCTGTATGTCGAGCTTCTACGGCTTTAGATATCTACTTGATACTGACTAGACCATAGATTGACACCTCAAGGGTCATCGAAGACGAAAGTGACAGCGATAGCAGCTTAGGCGGCGAAGAAGCGGAGGAACCAGACCTCGAAGAAGCAGAAGACGAAGACGACATTCCCCTCTCAGACATTGAATCCCTCGCTCCAGAAGAAAAAGCCGATATCCTCCCCCACCAACGCCTCACAATCAACAACACGACCGCTCTGACAAAGTCTTTGAAGGACATCGCTTTGCCTTCCAGCCTCCATTTCTCCGCCCATCAATCAATCACGACCTCCGAGCCTGTAGCAATCTTAGATGTCAACGACGACCTAACCCGGGAACTGGCCTTCTACAAGCAATGCCTTGACGCAGCCAACGAAGCTCGAACAATGCTGAAGAATGAGGGAGTCCCTTTCTCGCGGCCCACCGACTACTTTGCGGAAATGGTGAAAAGCGACGAGCACATGGGGAAGATCAAGTATAAGATGGTGGACGAGGCAGCTAACAAGAAGGCGGCCGCAGATGCAAGGAAGCAGAGGGATCTGAAGAAATTTGGGAAGCAGGTACAGGTTGCCAAGTTGCAGGAGAGGGATAAGGCGAAGAGGGAGACGTTGGACAGGATCAATTTGCTCAAGCGAAGTATGGTATCCGGCGTCGGGAGCCGTATGGTACAGTTGGGCTGATGATTCGTCTACAGAACGGAAGAACACAGATACGGGCGCCGCAAATGAAGAAGATCTCTTCGATGTAGCACTCGAGGATGCTGCTAAAGAAGAGCGGTCATCGAGATCTGCCAAAGGTGGAGATGGTCGAGGGCGAACGCAGAATAAAAGGCAGAAGAAAGATGATAAGCACGGCTTTGGTGGCAAGAAGCGGTTTTCGAAAAGTACAGACGCTGCTTCGACTGCAGACCTGCGCGGCTTTTCAGCGAAGAAGATGAAGGGAAAGAAAGGGCCGCAAAGGCTGGGAAAGAGCCGGAGAGCTAAACTGTGACGGGAAGGGGCCGATAAAAGCACAGGAAATGATTGTCATCATATCCATATTTCCGGTATCGGCTGTGGAGTTTCGCAAGATACCCAATGAAATCGCAAGATCCCCAATGGAATACTGAGACACAGATCGCGTTCTCTGAAATGATTTTTCATAGGAGGGGCTGACATATCTCATCGTCACACACAGCGTCCACGTCGTAGCGTTAGCTTCAGATGACCTTTCATCCGTCGTACATCCTCCGCGTTCAAATCACTGTGGGTATCATCCAAAAGACTCCGAGATCTACACACGGTCTCTTCTCTTCCTAGTATCTCCGCCTGATCGGAGGCTGCCACTTGCGCTGAAGGGTGTCCGGAGCAAGCTCAGTCCCAGGGTCAGGGGCAAATGCTTGCAATCGGCGTACAAGATTGCTTCGCGATATTAGTACCTTAGCTCAATGTCTGTAGGAGCTTCGACACTTACTTGACGGGCAAATACGGCCGACTCTCGTTGAGAGCCAAGTCGATCTTCTCTTGAGCTTGAGTAGCGTGCGTCTTGAAATGTTCCATAATCCTCGCCTTGCCGGCCGGTTTCGAGGCTTCATGTACTCGATGGAAACAACCTTCGAGGGTGCAAGTCCATAAATCTCCAGGACCTTGAGGCTCCATGGACGGCAGGTCATACTCGACTACCCTCAACTCCAGGTACTTTCGTGGAAGATATTTCAGGCCGTGAGCATCTTCCGGAGAGCTTTCTCTTGGAGGGTTCGTTAAGAGCTCCAAGTCTTCGGCCGTATGTATCGTTGTGATGGGAGATCCTTCGAAGAATTGTGAGTCCTCGTCATTTTGCTCCTCTCCGTGAGGACCTTCACTCAGGTCGTCCACCGCGAAAAGACTCTTTCGACGACCTGCAGCTTTTCGCGCAGTCTTGCCTCCGCTTGGTTGCAAAATTGACTTGTGCTTGCGGGTGAGAACATTGCGAACGCCGTCTTCGTCCGAAGAGGCTGAATCTAGGACTTGTTTTGAGGGAGGTGTTCCGGGCAATTGACTGTCCACTTGGGCTGCTGCTCTGCCTTTACGCGTCTTCTTATCTTTAGGTTCTTCTGTGTGTGGCGATTGTGACTTTCTCTTCTTTGAATTGTCTCTATTTTCTAACGAGGCGGCTTTTAAAGCATTGTTGGTTCCAAAGACCCTCGCTTCAATTTTACTATACTCGTCCTGTAGCAAAGTCAGATGGTGAACCATTTATGTACGTTTCTGACCTACAGAAAACTTCGACTCATAATAATTCAGCATCGGCGTTTGGGCCCAGTCCAATCCCTCTTGACATTCGAGCATCGAGGTGATCAGAAATCCCCGATGCTCGTGGAAAGCTTCTCGAACGTCGTCCGCGTCAGAAAGGCGCAATGATTTTCCCGACGCGAGGTACTGTATACTTTTAGCAATTGCGCATGGGAGAGACGGGTATTGGCAAAGGTTCAGTACCTCTTTGAACAACGCTCTAGTGTACTTGTCCAATTCTTTTGCATTAAGCTTTGGACGCTTCCTGATCGCTCTCCTCAACTTGTCTGCGAGCATGTAGAACATGGATGCCGCCTCGTTCATCAAAGAATATGTCTCCTTGTATGAGGATGCTGGACTTTGAATCTCAAACCAGCCTGCCTTTCCTGCCGCCCAGAAACCGTAGGATCCATCTTCATATTCGGCGAACGCGTACGTTGTGACGTTCTTGAGCTCAATAGCTTTCTCGTGGTATCGCCTGTCTCGTACTAATTTGACGCGTTCAGTCGTTCTCCTTTAGATTCATGACCGGTTTCATCATACCAAGTGGAAGTAAGTCACTGTCGATCTCGTCGAGTTTCCCCGATACTGTGACGGGATGGCCTTTGTGTGCTGACAATAAACTCGCCTGCTCTCCGGTCTTGGAAGAGGTGACATTGATCTTCTTGAAATTAAAAGTTGGCCACTCATCTGAATTGCGGAGAGAGGGGTCTTTCGGCTTGAGTACGTCCTCCTCTAGGATGGCCATAGGTTTTAGAGCACGTTTTCGGTCTGGTGACGGTGGTGACGGAGCGCATAAGTCAATGATTCAAACGCGGAAGACGCGTGCCCTGGGGTGGCTAGGTATATCAAAGCGGCAGCTTGTCTTTGAACGTCAATCTCGCTTATGATAGGTATCCGTGATCGACAATCAATGATCGCTTAAGCAAAGTAGTTGATGCAGCTGCCCCTGCACGCCCTGTTTGACAGTGAAGTCGTGAAGTAAGGTACTTTAGTGAAGGACTGGCATTATACTCGAGTCCATTTCATTCTATATTGCTGCACTTTCTATTCATTCTATTTTGTACTAATTATTCAATTGTGTGTATCATATATCATTTCACCTATTTATTTCATCAAAAGTCAACACCAGATGTGGGAACTTGGTCATTTTCCCCAATCCTAATTGCAGTCTCTCGAGCGACTTGGATGCCCGGTCCGACCTCGCTCGTCAAGAATATCATGTCCAAACCAAAGGGTAAGGTGGTCGAAGGTGTCTTTGGTAAGACGTTCCATCTTTGACTTTCGCTTTTCTTATCTCTTCCTTCTTACTCATCCATTGACCGTTTAGCGATAAACAAGCCCGCTGCCATCTCCTCCGCCCAGACAATCCGCAACCTGCAGCATCGTTTTAACCCTTCCGCCCTCTTTGCCCCTTGGCTTGCTGCTGAGCGCTCCAATCGCGAAATCGAGGTACGTACATTCCCGCGTAATTCCTTCCTGTCTGGTATAAAATTTGGGGTCACATGCCATCTTTCAGGAGTAGAAAGCCCCTTTACTCACTCCCCACAACTGTCTTGTTGTTCAGGTGAAACCCTATGTTCCGGCACCGAAAGGAAATCTTTACTCTCTGAAGTGACGCTGACTCTGAAATCTGCGTAGGAGCGCACTCACCGCAATCGCCGGAAGGATAAACGAGTTCAAGTCAAGATTGGCCATGGCGGCACTCTCGACCCTATGGCCACCGGCGTGCTCATCATGGGTGTAGGTAAGGGTACGAAGCGGCTACAAGGATTCCTCGAATGTACCAAGACTTATGAGGCTACGATACTCTTTGGGGCGGCTACAGACACATACGATACCCTAGGTAAGGTTCTTCGGAGGGCAGAGTATGGCCACGTAAGCAGAGAAAATGTGGAGAAGGCGTTGGGCAAGTTCAGGGGAAAGATCATGCAGAGACCGCCCATTTATTCGGCGTTGAGAGTGCAAGGGAAGAGACTCTATGAGTATGCCAGAGAAGGCAAAGAGGTTCCGAAAGAAATCGAAGGGCGGCCGGTAGAAGTGAAGGAACTCGAGATCGTGAACTGGATGGAGGGAGGGAGCCACAACCACGGTCTTCCCAAAGAAGACGCGGAGGATGAGGCAAAGGATCTTGCCGAGAAGGTATTGCATCTCGGAGAGGCTGTTGCGACGTCTGAAAACGCTAGTGAAGTTCAGTTCATGAACGGAACTGCAGGCACAGGGACCAAGAGGAAGCGTTCACTGGATGACGGTGATAGCGTGGTACCCAATAAAAACCCGGAGCTAGGACCTGAAGGGGAGTCTCAATGGCTCATGTCAGGAGGCCTCCAAAACCCTGACCATAGCACAAAGCAGATCGATACTCATGCACAACAGAGCTCGCCACCACCAATAGAAGGCCCACCAGCAGTCAAATTGCGCATGACAGTGACATCGGGGTTTTACGTTCGTTCACTCAGTCATGACCTCGGTGAAGTGGTGGGCTCACTAGCTTGCATGTGCGAACTAGTGCGTACCAGGCAGGGCGACTTCGAGCTAGGCAAGAACGTGCTAGAATATGAAGACTTGGAGAAGGGAGAAGACGTGTGGGGACCAAAGGTAGAGCAGCTGCTTTCGGATTGGGAGAGTAGCAATGAAGACATGAATGGTGGGGCAGACAGAAGCGACGGGGGAAGAAAGAGACGAAGAAGAAATAGTAGTAGTGATGCATAACAACTTGGAGTACCCAGAGCATTTGAAAATCAATGGCCTGCTTATATGGATGGATGCTCGACGGGCATGCCTAGCGCCTGGAAATCTAAGATTAATGATACCCAAAATCTAGCGTAAGCTGCTCAACTCTTGCCCAGATTACCCGTCGCTATGCCATGTTGCGCGTGTACCAGGCGTTTGCTCATAAATCGTATCAGAAGACTCAATTCACTGCATTTGCGGCCTCACTCTACCCCACATTCTCTGTAGAAGTGAACTTGGCTTTCCAAGCGAGTCTTCTTCCTCTGGCTTTCCCATTTCTTCATTTTGAGTGCTTTCGTGATTAACGAAGACGAAGGATAAGAGGACGATACAGGCCCCAATCCAGTAAGATACGCTTGATGTCTGTGAGTATTCGATCATCTGTCCAATCAAGGACAGTGGTATGGTCAGACTGAGGCCAACTGTGACTACCAAAGGTGACGTGAGCAACATTGAATATGCCCAACAGAGGTCCGAAACTAGAGAAGTCGCTGAGTTGATCTGATCTATTGTCTCAGCCATTTCCTAAACAGTGCTAGGGGTCACTTACCAATACGATAGCCAGGATACGCCTTGTAGGTGGCAATTCAAATGTCTCGATGCCGGTAAAATGAAGGATGAAGAAGCCCGGTAACAGTGTGATGAAGTTGAACAATCCAACGAAGCCGAAAAACAATGGCATGTCCACTCTTGACTCGTCCCCTATCCTTTTCTTCATGAGAGTAGTGTAGATCCCATACATGACAGCGCTAGTGAAAGCAAGGACGTCACCAATGGCGATTTCTTTGTGGGACTTGTGGGGGAAAGATCCCCGGTTCTTGTCTTGGTTACCAGTTATGTCGATGCTAGAGATCAATATGATGCCGGCCAGAGAAGCGAGTACGCCAACAAGTTTCTTTATGGTGAACTTCTCTACGCTGAGCAGTGCACCAAAAATCAGAGTCCAGACACCTATTGCAACGTGAGCATGTGCACAAGGATTGCGAGCGAGAGAGAGAGAGAGAGAGAGAGGCGCTATCTTACTGCTCGTTGATGTCAATATGGTTGAGCTAGCGACGGTAGTATATTCGAGACATGCTGCCACGAAGTAATTGGCCTGATTTTTCTGTTAGGATCAACCAGGATTGATTTGAATGTTATACACGTACTAGGAACTACGAAAGATCAGCCGTGTTTCGTTTCGATTGAGATGATTCCTACCCATAATATGCAAAATTCAAAGCTCAACTTCAGAGTTTCTCGAACGTTCAGACGCCTTTCTGAAGGACTTCCTTCCACTCCGGAGCTCTTCGATGGCTCTTCGATCAGTAACCGGCTACGCGGTGACCGGCTTGCTTCTTGAATGCCTCCGTCATCGTCAGGCTTGATAAAGGCTTGCTCCTCCTCTTCAACGATAGGCAAATAGTGGGTGGACCGATCATGTCCACGAAGAGCGCCCTTTATAGATCCGCCGGTTGCCCACAGCCTCTTTGCAGCAACCAGTAGCAGCAAGAGAGAGAAGAAGGATGAATTGACATAAGTGACAAAGTATGGTTTGGAGTAGCTATCATCTGCAAAAATTGTCTGCAGGTGAAGTTGTAAGTGTATGCTACCAGCTATTCGATCTCGACGAAACCTACACTTGCTAGAAAATTTGACGCTGTCCATAAAACTACAGTGGCCAGGAGCAGGATGATCCCAATTGTATGCCGCCAAACGCCACGAAGTGGTTTCTGGTGCGGCGGAGGTGTTTTGTGAGACGACATTCGAGACCTCTGTGACCATGAGGAATCCGTAGATCTTCTACCTGCCTGCGAGTCTTCCGAGCGCGAATTTGGTACAGGCAAGACAAAATCGTCTGCTGGGACCGGAGCGAGAGGTTGACTCATAGCTACTACCGGCTTCTCCAAGATGATTGTTGCCTGCTGCGGGTATGCATCGGGGTCCTTAAGCCTTCCACCTGATTTCCACGGCTTTTGTCTGGTCCCTGGTCATGGGAAAAACAAAGACCGTAACGTCACAAGCTCGACTGTCACTTGCGGTCCCAGTAAGGTACCTCTGGATTGGGTCAGGTTCCTTTCGAAGGGAGAACCTGGAGCCAGTAACTAATTCCCGAAGATCCCAGACGCCGTGTAGTTATTGTCTATTGATGAGTCAAAGGAGACAATAAAGTAATGTTGTGACTACTGGAAGCAATCAGGGAAGATCGGGGTGGAAGCCTGGGAGCTTGAGGGATTAGCGTGTGCAGAAAAGTCCGCATGTTTTGGCGCGCGCTGAAAGAAACCCCACGGTCCCACCTCTGTCTTCAATCTCGTGATTGCTACTTAGACCTTCGAACAATATCAGTTGAAATCAATATCATTCAGATTGTTTGCTTCACACAAAACTCAGTCTAACACATCTCTGCAATTTAGATGACGTGAATCGATGGTCTTTAAATCATCTTGACATCTCTTTGAGACTGTAATGTCAAAAGCTCAATATATAGACGTCTATAAGAACGTTGGCAACTCATTACCAATCCTAGGATCTCGAACTTTACTTGATCTCATGAGCCTTGAACAGAGCTGGTATGCAATCTTATATAACTCTTTACAATACTTCAGGCGGCGTGCAACAGGTGACCGAGAGGTTTGGGAGTTCTCAGTGCCAAGATTTGCAGACCTTTCTGCATATGCTAAGATCGGCGAAACTCACGGGCCGAATTTTTGCGAATCTACTGAATGGCTGTGCAACTCTTCTTGTCAGCACCACCTTTCTCTATTCACACTCTATCATTTAGACTTGTTGGCTTTTTGCATTCGCTACCAAAACCACACTCATTTTCAGTCAATGCATTATTGATACCCAAAGTATAGCTTGGCGACCATGGGCTTCTTTGACAGCATTCAGAAGCCCGGCTTCACAGCGGCCAAGGGCAAAAATGTTCACATCAAGCAGGAAGTTGTGAAGACGGCTTTGAACCCCAAAAAGACATTCGTTCCATTTCCACAGCATCTCAAAAAACGCTCTTTACCAGATAAAAAGGCTACGGTGTTGGATAACCAGACTGCCAAACTATCTCCCAAGTCTCGAGCCCAAAATCCCCGGAAACGCCCAGCTTCGACCCCGCAGCGTCTTGAATCTGATAGTGACGATGACGTATCTGATCATGATCTTGGGGATGCAAGAAAACGAGCACGGAGAACTAGTGACGTGGAGCCCGATCTAAAACGGCGGATCCGTAGCAGAAAGGCCTTCTCGGAGGAGGATGGTGGGGTGTTTCCCATGGTCCATGCAGTAGATGTTGCTTCTCTGGGCAAGCCCACGAAATACAAAGCCGCCTTCCCGAATAACCCGCAGGCTATCGAGATTCATTTGCAGTACCCGTCTGCTTCTCAGAGCGAGAAGTATGCCTTTCATCGACATGTCCAAAAGAGGATATAGCTAATGATCGCAGATACGAGTTGGTTGTGCCAATCCTTAATGATGATTTCAAGGCTTTGGAAGACATTAGAGAAGTCATGGAGACCATCATCAGCAACTACCTTCCAAGCGCTGAAGCAGCGAAAATGCAAAATGACAGCACGGGACTGATTAGGCGACTCAAGCGAGCCACGGAGAGGCGTGCCGGGAACGAATACACGGTCTTTGTGCAGGAATGGAATGACACCTTGGTTGATCTCAGGAAAAACGGGACTATTTCTAAGACCATCGACGAATGGAAAGTTGTCGACCTAAAATTGCTCGAGCGAATCCTGACACAAACCTACTCACGAACAGTTTCACCTAGGGTACACACGTTACGCCACTACCAGAACGGGACGGATAATGTGTACGGCGAGCTACTTCCCAAATTCATCTCCCTAATTCTCAAACAGGACGTCAAGATGATGTCCGATCAGATCTTTGTTGATCTCGGGTCCGGAGTCGGGAATTGCGTACTTCAAGCCGCTCTGGAGGTTGGATGCGAGAGCTGGGGCTGTGAGATGATGGACAATGCTTGTGATCTTGCCGAGCTTCAGGAGAAGGAATTCAACGCTCGGTGCCGGCTATGGGGTCTTTCCGCGGGTGACATTCATCTTGAACGAGGCGATTTTCTCAAGAATCCTGCGATCCTGAAGATTCTCCAGAAAGCAGATGTAGTCCTTGTCAACAACCAGGCATTCACTCCGAACCTGAACGAAGACTTGACAAATCTGTTCCTAGACCTTAAAGAGGGAGCCAAGATCGTGTCACTCAAATCCTTCGTTCCCCATGGGCATAAGATCACTTCCAAAAATTTGTCGGCTGCATGCAATAGACTCGAAGTCGTCCAGAAGACTTATTTCTCGGCCTGCGTGAGCTGGACTGAAACTGCAGGCACTTACTATGTTTCGACAAAGGACAGCTCTAAGGTCCAGGCCTTTGCTGAAAAGAACATGTGAGCGACTTTCCAGGATGGGGCACGGAAAGCCTATCACAAGCACAAACAGAGAGTATGGTCAGTATTATCTAAGGTCTAGTAGCGAAGCTTTTGGTACTGCATAAACTTGGAGTTTAGCGGCTCGAGAGATACCCAGGAGCATTCGAAGAGCATTGGATGGCGGCATTTTCTCCGAAGGCACGATTGAGGTTTTTCATAGACGCGTGCATTGGTCAGGAAAATTTGGATCCATCGTTCATAGCATCAGCTTCCTGTCCCATTCGTGCCATCCACCGATCGACCAACTCCTTATTCTCATGTCGCAACTTCTGAGAATGCTCTTCGGCCATGTTCAGCTGGAGCGTTAACGATACGGTCTCGTCATGCACGTCCTGCTGATCAATCAAACACGTCTCTCAACAAGAACAGAGCGCATTGACTCAAACCTCTAGCAATTTCGCCTTCCCCCTGAGTTCCTCATCTCTGTCCCTCATCCCCGTAGTCAACATCGCTTTCTCCTTCGAAAGCTCGCCAATACGTTTGCTGTCCAATGACGATTGTATTCTCAGCTTCTGCAACTCCTCTGTGACGCTCTGGAGCTTGGCCTCCGTCAAACCCCTGCTACGCTGAGCCTCACTCAAGTCCTGGCGCACTTTGGTGATTGTTTCTCCAGTGGTGGGACTACCGAGTACCGCTTTCTCTCGGCTTATCTTGCGGTCTTTGGGATTGGGTGACGATCTTGGCTCTTCTTGTAACCTAGTAACTTCTGCTGACCGAGCGGCTTGGAGGGTAGCTGTTCGATCAGCCAATTTGGCGTCTGATGCACTTTGTCAATTTCCGACATGGACTTCTAGACGGAAAAACAAACAGCGATTATATACAGCTTCATTTGCCTTCTCCTTCTTGTCCCTCTCATGCAGCGCACTCAGGTAGTCATCCCGCCAGGATGGCATATTCAGATGTACATGATGTTTTGAGAGTTGATCTGTTGCATGTTGGTAGACTTCTGTCTCCGTGATGGATTCTGAACGCTCGATACAAGTTTCCTATTTGCTTTGAAGCTCCATTGTGCTGATACATTAGATGACCGATCGAACGCACAAATGGCTGTGGGCGCGATTTCGATAGGGCTGAAGGATGATCGACATTTAAGTCGGTTTGGCTACCGTGACATGGCCGAGCAGGCGCAGCTCTTTGGCGTCAACTTCTCCGGAAACAGCCCAAATCGTCACCCTTCGGCTTTACTGAGGAACACGAGTACACCGCACTTAACGACTGCTGTTGATAACCTCCGTCTCAGCCAGTTGTGAGAACTCTTAGACAATAAAAGCAAAGCCCAGCTCTACTTTTGCTCAGCAGGAGGAGGCTTCAGCAAGAACTTCTAGCTTGGCGGGCGTGTTTAACCGTTGTTTTCATTCATCTTATCGTCTGAGAGTATTCGATCAACATGGCCTCGAGGAAGAAAGTCCTGCTTAAGGTACCTCTACCGCTCAGTACAAAGGTAATGGTCAATCACTAACATCCAGCCACAACTAGGTGATTATCCTTGGCGATAGTGGAGTTGGGAAGACTAGTTTGATGAACCAATATGTATGTACAGCAGGACGCATGGCCTTCCTGCGCAGCTTTGGCGGCTAAGATTCATCTTCAAATCAGGTCAACAAGAAATTCAGCGCGAGCTACAAGGCAACAATTGGGGCGGACTTCCTGACGAAAGAGGTCTTGGTGGACGATCGATTAGTCACAATGCAGGTGTGGGCACAAGCTGCTTGACGCTGTATCAAGGGCTAACTGTTGTCTAGCTTTGGGATACCGCTGGTCAAGAGCGGTTCCAGTCGCTAGGCGTGGCATTTTACAGAGGGGCCGATTGCTGCGTCCTGGTGTATGACGTCAACAACTCAAAGAGTTTCGATACTCTGGACAGTTGGAGAGACGAATTTCTGATCCAGGCCAGCCCTCGAGATCCCGAGAACTTCCCTTTTGTTGGTCAACCTCGAGCAGTCCTGCGTTTTGCTGCCTAACAAGACACAGGTTGTCCTTGGAAATAAAATTGATGTAGAAGAAAATAAGCGAATGATATCTTCGAAACGAGCCATGACGTTCTGCCAGTCGAAAGGCGGAATTCCATACTTTGAGACCAGTGCTAAAGAGGCTGTCAACGTTGAGCAGGCATTCGAAGGCATGGTGCACCCAAACTTTTCGTTTATGTCTATATCTTCGTGCTGACATAGGTACTTTCAGTAATCGCCAGGAACGCCTTGGCACAAGAAGAATCGGAGGAGTTCAGTGGTGACTTCTCGGATCCTATCGACATCCACTTGGACAGGGAGAGCGATGGTTGTGCGTGCTAGTCGCGCTTAGTCTCATGTGTCCTGGTTTCTGATCGAAATGATAGCCATGCATTTTCCATGAAGAGCATGGGCGGCAGAAGGTGCAGGTCTTTCACGCAGCAGGGATAAAGTATCTCTAATTGTGCACCAAATTGGAGGACTTAATGGCAGACCCATTCTGATACGAGACATCCCGTATTGAACAGATCCCGCATGTACATACACACCGAGGTCCTATATCATATACCCGGTTTATGACTCATACTATGAATTAGCAACCACGCACAGTGCTTGCCTTTCTTGGTTCGATGCTTGCAGACTATAATCTCGTAATTGCGCTGGCCAAGAGACTTGAGACAGAGCAGGTAACGTAAGCAAATCATAAAGAACGATAGCTCGTCTATTTGGAGCGTGCTTGGATCGAGTTTGAATGAGGAGAAGAAGTCGAAGAGTTTGTTCGATAGTGCCATCATCTTTGGATTCGTCCAACGCAGCATTTATACATGTGAATGCCGTAACCATGCACACCTTCAGTGCAAGTATGATACCAAATCCATGCAATAGAAACCTCTACGCCCTGGGCCTTGAGACAGAACCCCGTCCCTTTTGGATTCTCGTATCTATAACTTCGACCTTACGCCTTCCAACCGAAATTTGACATCTTTGAGCGCCTTAGTAGATGGTTTCCACTCGTCAAACTGTTTGATCAACTCCGTAATCTCTCCATACAGCTCTGTCCGCACGTAGTCCTCTTCCAATACACCCCGCATAGCAAACGGCAAAATGTACGGATTTTGTGACGTGGTTGCACCGTCGCGGTGGAATTGTGGAGAGATCTCACCGAGGGAAGTTGTTTCAAGAGCATGCTCGACAGCCAGATAATAACCAGCTTCGTCGTCATAAATTCTGGAATGTCCCTCACCGCCGTAGAGACTACCGGCAAGTGGGCTGCTCAGCTCTCGGATCACGCCATGATCTGATATGCCAAGATTACGAAGTTTCAACGCGAAGCCCACTAAGTGGGTAAGGAAGTCAGGGGCGTGGAGTCGGCCGTCTACGAAGACAGCCCGAAAGATATGTGGGTGGCTCACGCAGCCGAATGTAGAGGACTAAACGAATATGTTAGCTGGACTCCAAATACTCCACACACAAGCCCACCTCTAGTGAAACGAGCTGATCGTCTATACTGCCAACATAGACAACTTTTACCCCAAACCTCAAGGCAACGTCCAGGGCTGCTTCATAGTCCTTTGACACTTGACTATTGGGAAGTGCAAAATCGAAAAGCTCTCCAGCCGAGCCACTTATCCATCGAGACTTGTAGTCAGCGAAAGGGCCAAGATTGACTCCTGCCATAGCACAGACGCCAATCTTTGCGGAATTAACGCATCCGAATGCTATCAGTTTTGCAACCAGCATCATGGCTACAGGCACTCCTTGGCTGTGACATGCAATCATGACAAAGTCGGCTCTTCGTATTTTTTCGATCCAATTGAGCATGAGCTTCCACAATAGGTCAATGCGTTCTGCGATTTTGCCTTCTCCCTCTAGAGCTACCTTTTCGATCTCACATGAAAAGCCCTGATTTTGGGTCCATCTCTGAATGGCGCTGGCTGCACTATTGGCAAAACGAATAGACGTGCCTGTTGGTTGACCAAGGACGGAGCGAATCAACGGTGCCGGGAAATAGCCATGAACACCCTAAAGAAAGAAGATTAGCCACGTGAATGAGACCCACGCTCAACGAACGAGCCAAGCTTACAATGGCTAAAGCTCTCCTAACCCGTGGTGGGTTTTGAACAATGTCGACGTGCTTTGGTTCCAAAGTCGATCTCAATTGCAACAACCTGCTGATCTGCTGGATCAGACTTGGTCTTCCCACTGTACTGTATGTAGTTTTAAATGAAGGAAGAAGTAAATTCTCGGGCATGCCCTTTGATTTGGAACCGGCATCGACCTTGGGCTTTGTTTTCGAATCCAAAGGGATAGCGTCGGGGTTTGAATCTGATTTGGCATTATCTCCAGAGCCCCGAGGCTTCTTGGTATCCGCAGCTACTTCTAGTGATTGCGGCCTCTGTCTTTTGCTGACCTTATTTGGAACGCCTCCCGCTTCGTCTACTACTGCATTCTCCGGCTTGGATTGCAATGAAGACCCAGCAAGAGCCAATTCCCCAATTTCACTTCCAGGACGTGTCTTTTCGACATCACTCTTCGGCTGATCTCTGGACCAAAACGCCCAGCCATACGATGGTTTTGCACCATCTGTGGGTTGCTGAGGAGTTTGAGGGGTGGACATAGGACAAGATCCCGCATCGCTCACCTTTCCAGTTTGCGGTTCTGTTCCGAAGGAGTCGCGTTGTGGATTGGAAGCTACGCCAATTGCGCTTGCCGATGAGCTGCTTTTTGTCTGTGTGGATGCATTACTCCATAAGCTGAGCCAAGAGCGTGGGGCTTCTTCTTGCTGTGCAGATGGAGAAACAGGACTCGGCTCTGAATTTCGACGTGGTTTGGGGGATGCTGAACCATCTTGAAGAACATCTGAGATAAAACTTTGGGGGGTATTCTTACCCGCGCTACTGGCATCGTCATCACGCCGAGCAGTACTTGTTCCATTCTCTGTTACGGTTTCAGACTTCGAGAACCAATTCAACCAGCTCGTGGATTCGTTGGCAGCTTTAGGTACCTCTGACACATGACTCTTGGATTCTGGTCGAGTGTCGCAGTTTTTGGCAGTATTTTCCGGGGTACCGTCATCAGACTTTTCACCTTCTGGAGCCGTACTGGAGCCGTTTCGTGATTCATACTCTGTGAACTGATCTCTTTCATTCTTGGATGAACTCCTGTCCTTGGCAGCGCCGTTCGCAGGACCTATAGCGTTCGATGTGATGTGAAGTTTAGTAGTAGTGGCGGCTAGAGGCAAAGACCTGCTGGAGCTTCCTATACTTTTTGATAGGTAGAGTGCTGGGGATTTGAGAGGAGTTGTGGAAAGCTCTGGGGTGTGAGCCCGCGCTGACGCTAGAGCCTCAGATGCGGCCCCGCCTGCAGCTGAAATACTCTCTTTTGCTACTTGGGTGACTGGGCTGGACTTTTTCCCGCGTGGCCACGTTCCGCCGTACCATGTCTTGCTCGACTGAGGCTATAGAAGATTAGTCTCATTCCGGACAAGCTGACCATCCTATGCGCTTACAGAATTCGCTCCATTGACGGAGGAGTGGATGGGCTCGACACCTTCAGGCTTAATTGATGGTTTTGATTGTTCAACAGCAGCTTTGGGCGAAATTCTACTTTGTAATTCGGGCCCTTGGGGTAAGGGCGCTTCTGCTGATGCAGGTTCGGGTTCTGCCTTGGGGTTTGGCTTTGACCGTTTTCGAGGTCCCATAAAGCAAAGGTGGGTGCGGAGGATGAGGAGTCAGAATCTCTCGATCTCTGACATCCTCTCTCAGCCTTTGTAGACGAAAGATTCCTGCGTATTCAGGTGTGACTTTTGTATGTACAGGATATGACACTGGAGTGGATGCGGTCAATCATGCGGCTCTGCCTGATCCCTGCTCTAATAGCCGCGGCCCCCACGTCTTTTAGCGTGATGATCATCCCACGTCAAAAATTTGGCGAAGGCAAGAGAC